TGTCATTTGAGAAAAGGTTTTGTGATGATTAACATTAAAAAAGCTTAATTTGTTTTATATCGACCAACATCGCAGTAAGATTCAAACCTTCACCTTACCCTTTCAATGCTCGCCAAGATAGCTACTGGATGGGTTTGCAGGGAGTGTATTAGCCTAAATAAATCCAGCTCATTGATATAGAATATGCTTAGTAACAATATGAGTGCGTGCGTGCGTGCGTATAACTATGGATTAATATCACGTTGCTTTCCATATCACGTTTAATTGTCCCATGTTGTTTCGTACATTTATATTTGCTTGACATAATATCCCCAATTGATATTTCATAATTAATATATTAATATTTCAGGCATCAAAAGTGCAACCCAACTTTCTTTGTATGCCAAGGACGTGGTTGAACCTCCTGGAGACGACCTTTATGCCGGTTTGCAAAATCGATAAAGAAGATTGAGAAAGTTATCTGATATACATAGGACACAGTTAATTGTAATTCTCTGGATTTGTTTACTGTGTTATTAAATCAGTTCAAGACTGAACTAGTTCGTTCTTTGTGTCGTTGTTCTGATTGTAAGAATGTCTAATGTTGATGTGGCAATAGTCTTTCAATATCACTTCAGATGTTAACATTTATGACAGGTCGTGTTCTTTTAATGTGTGATATTTTCCTCAGCACCGACTCCAATGCTATAAATACGACACACAACTGGCCTCTACGGGCGATAACGCTTGGTCTCACACACTCGGAGACATCTCTACACTGAGATTGCAGCTTTGTTGACCATTGTGACGTTTCGGTTAGCATTGTGTCACAATCAAACGGCATCATTAATACCTGCCTCTGTACCTGCTGGTCTGCTGGACAATGTCGGACACTGGTTAGTACTAGTTTCAAACTGAAACAGTTGGAAGAAAGATTACAACGATTGTAAATATGTAATGATGATTATGACGATTTTAAGTAATTCTAAAGCAACTCTACTAAAATATATTAAGATACCCAAATATGTAGTGACTTCCTGGACTTCCTGATTGACAGTATCTTTTATCAATTATGGGAATAGAACGTTTGGACAATTAGGAGGTGTCCCACGGTGTGCCCCTCTCCTAGCTAATCGGTTGCTCTTCACATACGAACCGGATTGTTTTTTACAACTTCAGTAGAATTAAAGATTTGACCTCATTTCTGTCAACAATAACAAGATAAATGAGTATATGTCTTCATCTCACCTTTCCACCACCACTGAAAAATCATATTTAGAGAATACGCTAAAAGCACCAAGGAATTACGGATTATTTGTCCCAGTGAATTAATGTTTACTTTCCGAGCTTTGACTGGGGACTTTCAACATTAATTCACTCGGGACAGAAAAGATCGCCTCTGTGAACTAGTGGTAGAGCTACCCAGAGAACGGTAGGTCCGGGGTTCGATCGCCGGCAGCGTCATACCAAAAGACGTTAAAAGATGCTACTTGTTGTAACCCTGCCTGGCGCTCGGCATAAAGGGGCTAAAACAAGGCCTAGTCGGCTCAGAGTCAGTATACTGTGTATTAGATGGGTATTCACACACTCGCACGCACGCACGCACGCACTCAAACTGAATCCCAACTTAATACTCGCTGGATTCTAGCGATCTACAAATATGTAGTTATTATTAGAAATAATAGTTTATTCAAACTAGTTTTAAACACAATCTATGATAATCTAGCTATTGCACTGTCGATCGATGACATGTTTCTATTGAGTCGTAATGTACTTATTGTAAATGGATAACTTCTCGTCACGATACGGCTATTACAGATGAACAGGCAGGAGACTAGCTATGCATACAACTGTGAACTTTGTTGTTATAAGCTGTAGGTGTTTTGGCATGAAGGCGTTTTGGGAGGACACCCCTGTCATCTTTCGTAGTTGTTTGCACCTCTACAATCCACCGCCAACATGTTCTGATCATTGTCATGTTACACCTGGTTCTCCCTTTGTTCTGATCCATCTATTACCGTCATTAGATAAATCTTTGCATTTCTGTAATCATCTGCTATTCTCGAATATCCCCTACTATTTTTGGAGAGTATGTATTGTCAGGTAAGGTTCTCAAGGGATGTCCATTTGTACAGTGTACGTTAATAGAGCATCTCAGATCATGCGTTTCCTGCCTCGGCTGTGATATTGTACATATTTTCATATTCAAAACATCGATCCTGCCCAAATATCTTCACAGCGCTATTTTAGTTTGAGTTTTCATATTTGAAGGATCCGTGCTTCCCAATATTAATGTTCGAAGCAGTAATATATTGTTATTTTTCATATTTAAAGGATCTATGCATCCCAAGAAGATGGATCCTATTGTCGTCTTATTAATGACGAATGGCGTAACCCAAATACGAAAGCAACGATGATTGTTAATTGGTTAATTAAAACAGGTCAAGAAATTCGTTTCACCTATAATCTTGAAAGTTCTGATTTTCCATGTCGACCGGCACTTAGGGGATAATATAAAGTGTGAGAGTTCTTTAACTTCATATTTCTGTAGTTATATCCAGGTATCCACTTTTATTCGCATTTCTGTGAGCAATAGGTTGATTGTCGTAAAATGGGAATTGCTTGAGTTGTTGTTTGATACACAACTTTTTGTAATAGGATGTTTGACTTTAGTCTATAATTAATGTTACTTCATGTGCGAATATAAGGTATTAATGTACCAGCAGATCAGGTTCAGTAACTAACAGTTCATGACAAAGGAAGACAATGAAACATTCCACTTATATTACCTTACCTTCAGAATACCTTAAGCAGCAAGGGAGTAGTGGTATTGTAGCATTCGCTGAAAACCGCACACTAATTGACGCCTTCGCAAATTGTTCGGAATCATGACAGTCAATTGTGAAAGAAGCTCTTTTTTATGATCAATTAGTTATCGACTCACAGTACAAGGGTCTGATTGTGTTGTTGAATGAAATGTTCACAGACCTAGTGGAACTAATGAACCTAGTTCCAATATTGTGTCTTCCCACTGCTGGCTAAGACTGATTATGGGATTGACCCCGCCCGAGTGTAGACGGACATGGAATTGGAAGAACACGTATTGTGCCGTGTAACGAGATTGGCAGGTGCACTAGAGAAACTAGTGTGTCAGTTGTTGTTTATTGCGGCACTCAGCAATATTCCAGCTATATGACAGTAGCCTGTACAAAATCGAGTCGGAGTGGGGCTTAGCAAACAAGCGACTGTAAATATGCCTGGGTTGTGAATGACTGTCAGCTAGACACATACAACAAAGACACGCCCACCAACCGACACGCACTGCACACAACTCCGCACACAAGCGGCACAAAGGCGAGGAGCCTGGTTTAAGTTGTGTAGGTCGCCAAGAGCTGGCAGCGGTCCCATTTTACCGCGAACAATAACGGGTAGTTGTATAGCAATGAATCCTTCGACACGAAACGTCCTGTCAATACCGTAAACACCACGTTATTAGCGTCAACAGAAACCAGTATATATCGCATCAGTACATCGCAGTATATTACATTCTTACAAATAAAAACTTGCTTGCAGTCATAACTATGAAATATGTTATTATCTTTTTTTTATGATAAGCCATTTGGAACGACACGTTTAAGGATATTGCTTCCTGTCACCAGGTTGCCACCCACATTTCTACAAAGTTCCCCGATAATGAGCCATATTTTCGTATGATGTAATGACACACCTAAAAAAAGCCTTATGCGTGTAATAAATTAAGAAATAAACGTCTCGTGGTCGTTGATTATCGTACAATAAAACACTGCAGGGAGAATAAACAATGAGGATTTAAACATATTTACCCAAATTCTGAAAAGTATGATACCCTGAATTGAATCCGACCTCGGAAATGTCGGACAAGCCCATTTTACGAACAGGTGGGTTAAGTTTTGTATTTCCAGCATTTTCTTGAAATCCTCACGTCGATTATCTGTACCTTTTCTCCTCATACCTATTGTCATATCTCTCCCACTTTTGGATGCAATCGCTCGTACACTGCGTTTAACTGCGTAGTCCAGCTACATCTGTGGGAACAACCCACTAGACACTTCCCTCTCAAAAATAACGTCGTCCAATATATTTGCGGTCATGAATTTGCCAGCGCATATTCGAATCTCCAGAAATGACGTCATGATAGAATAATGTTTTATCGTGAAATAAACCTCGCTTCGTTCCTCATTGTTCTTTGTGATTTATCGCGTGGTCATCTTCTATCTTTAGATATTAAACAGCATGTACCTTTCGGAGAAATACAACTCCGATCTTTAAATTGTCAGTGTAGGTTCCACGTTTCTTGTTTCTTGAGTCCCCCGCCGTGATATTGCTGGAATATTGCTAAAAGCGGCGTAAAACCATACTCACTCACTCACTCACTCTTGTTTCTTGATGTCGCAAAAGGCAGTTAATGTGAAGATTGTGTGTACAAGATGGCTGCAGTGTTGCCAGGGGAGTCGAGATTCGCGACACATTTCCTCTACGGAGCAGTTCAAGGTTATTATCATCTGAACAAACACAGAACGTATGGTTCAAGTCAAAAAAGGAATCGCATCGGATAAAGGATGACGTTTTTCGTTAGGTTTTTGGTTACACGTTGTACACAAGGAAAGTTACACATGTACATACAGAATGTTTTTGTCGCCTTTTGTTTAATGTCCTGCACACGCTTTAGCTGTTACCGGGGCGGTCGGGTAGCCCAGTGGTTAAAGCGTTCGCTCGTCACGCCGATGACCCGGGTTCGATTCCCGACATGGGTACAATGTGTGAAGCCTATTTCTGGTGTCCCCCGCCGTGATATTGCTGGAATATTGCTAAAAGCGGCGTAAAAACATACTCACTCACTCACTCACTTTAGCTGTTACCTCACACGGCTCTTCACCGCGTGCTTTATGTTGTCAATGAGATATGCAAATACATCTTGTAAAATAAAACCCATTATGAAGTGCACATAAATACAGGAAATACGGTAGTTATGAAAGTATAACCAGGTCTTTCCTTACCGTCCTATGTCTTTCTTTTGAGTTGATGCTGGTTGTCATTTGACGAGATGCAGGGTTTATCTGTTTTTGTGGCGATTTACTGTATGTGTTGGATTCCGGATGAATATGCGACGCTTGAGGCTGCAGAGGTTTGTGTTACTGGTGAAGGGTAGCGGTAGGTTGATGTCTATGACGTGTAATGTACTCTATGTGGCTAATGCTATAGTAATATCAGTGTGTGAGCCGTGTGCATTCAGGTGGAGTGATTGGTGTGTCCTCGTTCTACCGCCACCGAAACTCTCACCTGTCGAACTCTAAACTATTACTGCCTGACATGTGGTATACACTCAGACACGATAAACTCTCAACTATTACTGACTGACATGTGGTATACACTCAGACACGATAAACTCTCAACTATTACTGACCGACATGTGGTATACACTCAGACACGATAAACTCTCAACTATTACTGACTGACATGTGGTATACACTCAGACACGATAAACTCTCAACTATTACTGACCGACATGTGGTATACACTCAGACACGATAAACTCTCAATTATTACTGACTGACATGTGGTATACACTCAGAGACGATAAACTCTCAACTATTACTGACGGACATGTGGTATACACTCAGAGACGATAAACTCTCAACTATTACTGACGGACATGTGGTATACACTCAGAGACGATAAACTCTCAACTATTACTGACGGACACGTGGTATACACTCAGAGACGATAAACTCTCAATTATTCCTGACGGACATGTGGTATACACTCAGACACGATAAACTCTCAACTATTACTGACCGACATGTGGTATACACTCAGACACGATAAACTCTCAACTATTACTGACGGACATGTGGTATACACACAGACACGATCAACTCTCAATTATTACTGACCGGCATGTGGTATACACTCAGAGACGATAAACTCTCAACTATTACTGACGGACATGTGGTATACACTCAGAGACGATAAACTCTCACTTATTACTGACTGACATGTGGTATACACTCAGAGACGATAAACTCTCAACTATTACTGACTGACATGTGGTATACACTCAGAGACGATAAACTCTCAATTATTACTGACGGACATGTGGTATACACTCAGAGACGATAAACTCTCAACTATTACTGACGGACATGTGGTATACACTCAGAGACGATAAACTCTCAACTATTACTGACTGACATGTGGTATACACTCAGAGACGATAAACTCTCAATTATTACTGACCGACATGTGGTATACACTCAGAGACGATAAACTCTCAACTATTACTGACGGACATGTGGTATACACTCAGAGACGATAAACTCTCAACTATTACTGACTGACATGTGGTATACACTCAGAGACGATAAACTCTCAATTATTCCTGACGGACATGTGGTATACACTCAGACACGATAAACTCTCAACTATTACTGACCGACATGTGGTATACACTCAGACACGATAAACTCTCAACTATTACTGACGGACATGTGGTATACACTCAGAGACGATAAACTCTCAACTATTACTGACGGACATGTGGTATACACTCAGAGACGATAAACTCTCAACTATTACTGACTGACATGTGGTATACACTCAGAGACGATAAACTCTCAACTATTACTGACGGACATGTGGTATACACTCAGAGACGATAAACTCTCAACTATTACTGACGGACATGTGGTATACACTCAGAGACGATAAACTCTCAACTATTACTGACCGACATGTGTTATACACTCAGACACGATAAACTCTTAACTATCACTGATCAACGTGCGAAATACACACATATTTGACACACTCTCAATTATATAATCTACATGACTGAAGTATGTGCTGTTTCACACATCAAGGTAAATTCTTAAATTCTATTACAAACTCGTAACTGCAATTTGACTGATTGAACTCGATGTGTGATCGCACTCGGACAACAAGGGCCGATGTTCATGCGTTCGGTTTACTTGCTTTAAATTCGACCGCTTGAGTACCTTAACGTATGAGACAACAACGTTGTGAACCGCGCAGTCATTAATGAACAATGGACGCTGGGCGCAATTGCTACACCTATACGGTTCGAAGTACACTTGTGTAAGTACAGTAGAACCATTTTAGAAAACAAGTATGTTTGTTTTTCCTAAGGTTGCCTCTTGGTGCCAAGCCTTAACTTTCGAAAGACGGTTTTATACACACACTGCCTTTCTAATTACGTCCGATTCGCCTTGATTTTCACTGTTTTATTAGCAACACGCCCGCACTGGGGGGTTCAATCAAATGTTTAAAATTGGGGCCAAACACTCTTCATTGTATCGTCACTCACTCACTCACTCACTCCACTCCACTCCACTCCACTCCACTCCACTCCACTCCACTCCACTCCACTCCACTCCACTCCACTCCACTCCACTCCACTCCACTCCACTCCACTTCACTTCACTTCACTTCACTTCACTTCACTTCACTTCACTTCACTTTTCATCTTCCATAGCCAAAACATCCATTCGCAGTAGCAAGAGAAGCTATCCGCAGTCTGGACAAGGCACCTTCCTACCTCCACCTGGTGGATTTTGGACCTCCAACTGGTACAGTAATTATACCTTTAGTACGCTGTGACATAACTGGAATACTGTTCAGGTCAAAGAGTATTGGTATGTTAGAGATAGCCTTCATGATGGGGGCAACATGTGCGTATATTAATATGAAAACATAAACGATGATTACAATCATCGCCGTTCAATAGTTGTTGTCCGCGATGTTTTTTCTTCAAAATTATCGTCATGACATGGCTGAAATATTGCCTATGTGAAGTTAAATTTTAACTCTCTCACTCTTCAAAATTAAAATATTTCATGTAGAACTAGATACATTTTTGTACAAGAGAAATATTGAAATTAAATTCGTATTGTTTAATAGTGTGTGAGAGGTACAGAAGTAGAATTTCCTCCATTAATCAGAGCCAATGTTGTTTTAAGTGAGTGAGTGAGTTGGGTTTAACGCCGCTTTTAAAAGTATATCACGGCACGTCAGCTTAATGTGGTTGAAAAGCCCGAAGTGATGCAGGTCTCAGACGTATACCACTTCGGTGAAACCCATGAGCACTGGTATGGTGATGACAAACCTAGAAACATAATCTTGGCGAAGCAGGATTTGAACCGACAATCATCGGTGTCTGGTGTACCCTCTGAACAGCGAATCGCAACGCTTTAGACGACTGGGCCACCCGTGCTCCCTGTTGTTTTAAGATGAAAATGAAGAAACAATTTCCGCTTTGATTTACAGGAAAGGGAATAGTAGCAGGCAAAGACTTTTCTCCTGGTGATTTTATCACCTATTATCATGGCATACACAGTGCGCAGCAACCAGAGCTCAATGATCCTGACTACGACTTTCTATTTAAGCTGAACTATTACCACAACACCTTCTGGTAAATGATTGCAATTTCCATTCTCTTGATCAAACCAAGAAGATCGATTGTCATATAACACTGCAGAATAAACTACAACGTATATAGAGAATGTTCCATAACTCTTGTCGTGTATGACCTATACACGAGCACCTGGTTCATCACTGATTGTAGTGATCCATTCATAGAATCTTTACCGTTATTTACTTTTTTGGTACGCCAAATGGAATCTGTGTCGGGGGATTATCAAGACTGGTTATTCTCTTTGGTTGACGTGTTTTTGTGTGTGGTCTTAAATTCCAGTATTAAGAATCATCACGAAATAATTCTGTGCATCACGAGATTTGATGACCATTTTTACAACTTGCTAGTAAATGTAATCAATACCTCATTAAAAGGCAATACCATATATAATTCTGAAAGGATCGATGCTTCCGAAGAGGATGGGTCTTATGGACGATTTTTGAATGATGATTGGAAGACTCCAAATGCAAGAACAAGGGTGTTCTTTGTTGATGGTCAGGCACACATAGCCTTTCTTGCCCGCAGATTCATAAAAGCTGGTGAAGAGATCCGATTCAACTACAAACACGGGGCTACTACCTTCCCATGGCGACAGGTTCGTTATAACAAATAGTCGAAAGTTAACTTCATTCTGAACCTAATCAACAGAAATCTGTTATAGTATTTGTATATATCCCATACTCATTCAGATAATGTTCACCACTAGTTGGTCTTTTACGCCCAGTGGAATGTGTTTGTGCAGATAGACGAGACTGGTTATCTCTGGCTTTTCTTTTTTACCACAGCCGAAGAAGCATCCGTTTGCAGAAGCAAGAGAAGCCATCCGCAATTCAGATATGTCACCGTCATACCTCCGCGTAGTGGACTTCGGACCTCACAAAGGTTGTGATACACTGCATATTGTTGGCACATGTGCAGTGAAGACATGGCTGTTGAACACCTACCTGAGTAATCAGTTCAATGGTTGAGCAATGAGAAGGTTGCTGAATATAACATATTTGCTTTCTTTGGAAAGCACATGACAACCATATATTGTTATTAGACGTACACCTGATGCTAGGTTTGGTCGCATCTTGTAAATGTTAAATTATCCCTTAAAAATCTGTAACTTAAATACGAATTGTTTAAACCTCCATGTCATCATACTAATACCATCGTTCAAGATATATCTCAGTTATATCACACTCTGGCAGCTTAATGTGGGAGGAAAGCCCGAAGTGATGTGGGTCGTGAACGATGCTGGTGTTCGAAACCACGATTTTGGATTTTGGCATGCCATTTGATAGCATAGTGTCTTTGGGGATTGGGCCACCAAAAAAACAGAGTTGGAAATTCCTGATTCGACAAACAAATTGCTAGTCCCGGGATAACGGACAAGCAATTATTTTTGGAACTATGAATCACACATGTCGCATAAGTGACATTAGTATTCGGACAATCTCACGTTCGGCTATTTCCGTCAAGGCCGGATAAAAGACCAAGTGCCCTCTGTTGGAAGGATGGTTCTCGGATTAAACACAGCTTTTCAAGGTTAAACACCCCTGTTTCTATTGATAATGATTATGTTTCCGTCTCGATTTCAGGAAGGGGAATAGTTGCGGGCAAGGAGTTTTCTCCTGGTGATTTTATCACCTATTACCATGGTATACACAGTTCAGAGAAACCAGACCTGAATGATTTTGACCACGATTATCTCTTTAAACTGAACCATTATCGCAAAAGTTTTTGGTAAGTTTCTGCTTAACTATCCATAAATGCTCACGATAAGTGTTTCAAGACTTCATGTGTCTTTTTGTTTGAGGTGTCGGAAGCGTACTATGAATACATGCCTTTAATCCAAGGGGACATCTAAAGAATACACCCCACCCACCCCACAAACATACACTCCCCCGTATATTTGGAGAATACAACTTTAATAAAAACATATTTCAGTTCGTGTATTTATTTGACAATAACATGTTTTACTCTAAAAGGATTGATGCTTCCGAAGAGGATGGGTCTTATGGACGACTTTTGAATGATGAATGGATTACCCCAAATGCACGACCAAGAGTTTTCTTTGTTGATGGAGAAGCACACATAGCCTTTCTTGCCCGCAGATTCATAAAAGCTGGTGAAGAGATCCGATTCAATTACAAACACGGGGCTACTACCTTCCCATGGCGACAGGTTCGTTATGAAAAATGGTCAGTGGTCGAATGTTTACTTAAAACCTTAACGGGATCAATAGAAATGTCAAACTTCTCTTTCATATTTTCTTTTAATTGTATCTATTCCATGGTTTGAAACCCCGACAGTGTATTTTATAAATGTCTTTCCCGCAGAAGAAGAAGCAACTGAAAACAGAGGACAGAGAAGCCAACCGAAGTTCTGACATACCCCCTTCATACCTCCATGAAAAAGTATGTGATCAAAAATTTCATTTAATTTGTTGAGTTTGCTATTCCTGCCATACCACGGCGCCCTGGAAATAGTCGAATCAGAAACAAATTCAGTGGGTGATTTTGAGCAATGTCCAAAGCCGTTGGGATCCGATGACATGCAGTCAACAGGACCACCATCTTGTCCACAAGATCCTATCTAATAGCTTCTTATGGCAAACAATAAAGTACTAGGGACTTCCATCTAAGGGCCAAAGAAGGTTCATACGATTCGAGTTAGAATACCATGATTATGGATGCTCTTTTGTTTAAAGTTTTGTACCTTACAATGCATAGGGATTTGATTATGTTTAATAAAATGCATGCATTATTCTTTATTATATCTCGGACCTAAGTGCAAGGTTGTACGTGATGTACTAATATGTATGTGATCCGGTATTATGACACAGTCAATTCCGCTTTGGCGTTATTAATGCATATTCTTCTAGTACCATACTTGTACCGCGGCAATTCCATATTTTGACTTGTGACATATGTTCCCGAGATTTTTCAGGTAAACAATTGACTTGTCTTTGCATGTGTTTGTGAGGGGTGTCAGCGGTAGAACAGTATACGCTCACCTTTTCGCGAACACCTGGTATCATCACTTTTTGATAGTGAATCATAAACAGATGCTAATGGTATAGTCTGAATCGTACATATACATTTATTATCCCTGTCCATGCTTCATCGGGGCTCAGATAATGACAACATCTGCTATATTTCAGTTGATAGCTATGTTGTACCTTTCAGTCACAGAAAACATGGACGCATCCTCAGTCAAAGAGAAGAACGTGGTTAGATCTTCTGAAGACAGTATTCATGCCGACATGCCAATTGGAAAATGAGGACAACCAGTGACTCTTGGAGTCCCTCCCAACTTGATGCTCCAGGAGATCTGCTCCAAGTCACGATCAGACGTGTGATCTTTCTCAAAGAAGTACGAGAGTCGGTTACTGAATGTTCTAAACTTCTTTAAAATGGAGAATAGCGAACCTGAATAAGGTAGTCGACCATTGGAGGACCTGGAATTACCATTCTCTAATACACAAGTGTGTGGTTTCTAAAATACGGCACAAAGTCTGTCTATCTGACGTCTGTTAGTGTCCCTGATTCTCCGTGATCGTGAAGCTAGCAGGATGTAATCTCAGATTCAACTTTCATTGTGAATAATGAAAACCTAAATGCGGTCTGAATTTGAATATCATTGGTTACATGTAATTCTTTTAAACAATTTCTGAATAAATGTTAGCCTTTCAAAATATACTTCTTGTCATGTTAGATCGAATTTGAAAAAGATTTATTACAAAACCAGATACATGTACCTTACAATACTTTACCTCTATGAAGTAATAGGAATGATAATACACCCACTCATGGACCCACATCGAGTAAATATGCATGCTCTTGTTTGTGTTTTCTTTGTATGTACTTATCCAAAGTGAATGTGAGCAAAATGTACCAACTCCGGAAGTTTCCCGACATAAGTCCTTGTTCCACTATGCATGTGTAGACAATCAACAATCAATCTGTGAGACAGGTGTGAACAATGGACTTTTGTGCTGTAGTTCGCTTTGTTGTGTCCCTGGTCCCTGCCAGGGTTTGTTCATATTCGCCCTGATAATTAGTTATAGTTTGTCAGAACCATACTGTACACAGTTTGTCAGAAACATCTGTGACATACCCCACACTTGGGCTTCGACACATACTAGCTGCCACACGATCAAAGCCTTGGTAATCACAACTCAGTCACTGTATATGGTTTGCACAGGGTCGAAGTTAGAATTCGATAGTTATCAGAAAAGTGACAAAATGCCCGACTGACACACAATACAAAAATCAGTAGCAATTATGTAGAAATTGATGAAAAGAAACATTTACGTTTCAATACATTATATAATACTTACCGTTAACAAGTGCAATACAATCGAGTTAAATTACATCAATCCTATCTACAGTCGAACATCGTTATCTCGAGCACCGTTATTACGAATGTACCGATATATCTTGAACATGTTTTCCGGCACTAATCTCAGTCCCGCTTCACTACATAAATGCATATAAATTTGACCGCATATCTCGAGTTCGAGATAAAAATACATAGCGCTATCTCGAACCTTGGACTCGGTCACAACTTTGACATTACATTAGAATTCTGTTCCTTTATCTCGAAGCTGGCATGTAACATCGCTGTAAAAGTACAGTGCAATTTAAACCTTCGTTCAACCACTTGTGTATTTATCTTTTAATCCAATAGTAATGTTAATCTTTATCAACAAATAAAACATCGTGAGTCGACATGAGTGAAAACATGCATGACGGCCCTTCCTGGTTTCAGTCAAAAAGTATAAATCAAAAGAGGATTAAAGCAATCAAAGCCGCGTGAAGCAATATCCATGTTATGAATGAACAAGCTTGACGCGAGAGTAGCATTTTGTTGTTTTTGCCAAATGGACAGGCTAAATAGCGATTGCTGCTGTGCCTAATAAAATACACTATTTGTCACAAATGTTATTGACTATTGGCGACGAAATTGCCATCGCATAAACGTGCGGGGCTCGTAATTCCTTGTATGCAATCGTATTATTTGTATCTATAATACTGTTACTTGATCTGTTTGGATGGTAAGGCCTCCTTATCTCGAATGTCCGAATACCTCGAAGTTACAATACGGCCCCTCTAGGTTCGAGAATACAGGGTTCGACTGTATGTGGTACCACTGTGATTTCGTGATGTCCTCTAAACTACCGGACCATGTGACACAGGTATCACAGTTGTGTTTTGGACCTCAAGTTTCCAGTGTTTCGGCGACTGTTTTCCCCCTAGTAACGTTTCGATAACTTTTGTTTATATTTTGTCAAATCCAATTTTCAAGCGTACAAGCGTATACTTTCGTTTGTCCGACAGTTTATATGAGACCAAGAGCCTAACTAGCTGAATAACTAGTGCGCAACTGGCTGCAATGAAGCCTCATATTTAGACTTATTCCTTGCAGTATTTGCTTTGCGTCATCTTTAAGGTGTATTTGTCCGATCTACCCTTTTTGACCGTTTGTGTGACACAAAAATATTCTCCATCGAACTATGGGTAATACGATTTGCTTCTAGTTTCAAAGGCACACTTGTACAAGAACTCTTATAAGAACTCCCGACATGGTCACAATGTGTGAAGCCCGGTGTCCCCCGCCGTGATATTGCTGGTTTACACGTTCAAGCTGCGAAATCCTCAACACCCATGTGCAGAAGCAACATTGTGTTATTGGATCGCTGTTCTAGAGATCTGAGTACGCTCAGACATAATCCAAATGAATTGCTGTTAAATCTTTCTGCAGAAAAGAAATCAGATTGTTGAAGAGAAAAGCATGTTTGTGTTTGATGTCAGACATAAGATAGTTCAGTTCAAGGAAAGCCCCCGCGTTGCATTTCGTATGTATTGTCGATACCTAATAATACCTACATTATACTAAGGACACAAGGAACAAATGGAATGCTATAGAAATAATAATCACTTATTGAACGACTTGAGACGTATACTTGGTACAACAGGCCGCAATGCAACAGCTGCAGCATCACTGCGTTCCAGTGTCGATAACTCCATTGTGGAAACATGTCAGCCTGGACTGTATCAAGAAACAAATCGGATTTGTTCCTCGGTACCGCATTCCAGATAATAAATAACACGGGGAGTGATTAGCGAGTAATAGCGAAGACGACAAAACCAGACAGAGAAGGATTTTCAATGCTAATTTTGCTGCAAGCAAATAACATAAGATGACGAGAAGCTTGAACTTACACTCTATGAGAGTTTCACAGCACTGAAGTTTGTTCTCATAATCTGTACGGTAACGCTGCCTGTCTTCTGCATGTCAATATACATGTCAGATGTAAAGGCCGTTGTGTATTCCAGCTGTGGGAAATGAGAAGATTGGCCACATATCTAACCACTTTCTGGATTATTTTGGAGCTTGGTGGATGCCAAGCGAGGAATAGTTTTGAGGTTTGCTTTACACGCTAAGTTTTCTTGGTTGATCTGTTTCGAGTTGCGAAAGTGATGCGATTAATACATCTGGGAGCTCGTATTATACATCATTGGAATATGGAGAAAGGGCTTGTCGTTTTATTGTATTAAATTATGCGTGTTAACTGTGCAATAAGAAGAAATTCTCGTGAGGAAAACCAGTGAATGAACATTAGATAATTATTTGCTTATTTTCCAGAACAATACATCAGTGTCGTTACTGTTCAGTGGAAGAAGAAGATAAATAATAGTATTGTTGTATTGTTTCTGCATCTGTTTGTGACGAGTGACACGGGCTGGGCAGGATACGCTCACCTTTTCACGAACACCTGTTTTATATCACTATCTGATAATGATTCATAAACATGTGCTAATAATATGTTCGAAGTCGTACGATGGGCTCTTTTGTCCTTATTTTGGAAAGAGGTTTGTTGCTCTTATTGACATGATGGGTGCTCAATACCTACAATTCTTGCTTCTCAAGGCCCCCGGGTCGCTATACGTACATAGCTTCTCAGGACACATGCATACACGTTTCCTTCTCAAGAACCCTCACTACATACATGTTTTTGTTTCTCAAGGCATCTGCAGTTAGAGACGGGTCCCTACAATCTAAACGTTTCCTTCTCAAGGCCTCTGCAGTTAGAGACGGGTCCCTACAATCTAAACGTTTCCTTCACAAGGCTTCTGCAGTTATAGACGGGTCCCTACAATCTAAACGTTTCCTTCACAAGGCCTCTGCAGTTATAGACGGGTCCCTACAATCTAAACGTTTCCTTCTCAAGGCCCCTGCAGTTATAGACGGGTCCCTACAATCAAAACGTTTCCTTCACAAGGCCCCTGCAGTTATAGACGGGTCCCTACAATCAAAACGTTTCCTTCTCAAGGCCCCTGCAGTTATAGACGGGTCCCTACAATCTAAACGTTTCCTTCACAAGGCCTCTGCAGTTAGAGACGGGTCCCTACAATCTAAACGTTTCCTTCACAAGGCCTCTGCAGTTAGAGACGGGTCCCTACAATCTAAACGTTTCCTTCACAAGGCCTCTGCAGTTATAGACGGGTCCCTACAATCAAAACGTTTCCTTCACAAGGCCCCTGCAGTTATAGACGGGTCCCTACAATCAAAACGTTTCCTTCACAAGGCCTCTGCAGTTATAGACGGGTCCCTACAATCTAAACGTTTCCTTCTCAAGGCCCCTGCAGTTATAGACGGGTCCCTACAATCAAAACGTTTCCTTCACAAGGCCTCTGCAGTTAGAGACGGGTCCCTACAATCTAAACGTTTCCTTCTCAAGGCCCCTGCAGTTATAGACGGGTCCCTACAATCAAAACGTTTCCTTCACAAGGCCTCTGCAGTTAGAGACGGGTCCCTACAATCTAAACGTTTCCTTCACAAGGCTTCTGCAGTTATAGACGGGTCCCTACAATCAAAACGTTTCCTTCTCAAGGCCCCTGCAGTTATAGACGGGTCCCTACAATCTAAACGTTTCCTTCTCAAGGCCCCTGCAGTTATAGACGGGTCCCTACAATCAAAACGTTTCCTTCACAAGACCTCTGCAGTTAGAGACGGGTCCCTACAATCTAAACGTTTCCTTCACAAGGCCTCTGCAGTTAGAGACGGGTCCCTACAATCTAAACGTTTCCTTCTCAAGGCAATTGCAGTTATAGACGGGTCCCTACAATCTAAACGTTTCCTTCTCAAGGCATCTGCAGTTAGAGACGGGTCCCTACAATCTAAACGTTTCCTTCTCAAGGCCTCTGCAGTTATAGACGGGTCCCTACAATCTAAACGTTTCCTTCACAAGGCCCCTGCAGTTATAGACGGGTCCCTACAATCAAAACGTTTCCTTCACAAGGCCTCTGCAGTTATAGACGGGTCCCTACAATCTAAACGTTTCCTTCACAAGGCCCCTGCAGTTATAGACGGGTCCCTACAATCTAAACGTTTCCTTCACAAGGCCCCTGCAGTTATAGACAGGTCCCTACAATCAAAACGTTTCCTTCACAAGGCCTCTGCAGTTATAGACGGGTCCCTACAATCTAAACGTTTCCTTCACAAGGCCCCTGCAGTTATAGACGGGTCCCTACAATCTAAACGTTTCCTTCACAAGGCCCCTGCAGTTATAGACGGGTCCCTACAATCTAAACGTTTCCTTCACAAGGCCTCTGCAGTTAGAGACGGGTCCCTACAATCAAAACGTTTCCTTCACAAGGCCTCTGCAGTTATAGACGGGTCCCTACAATCTAAACGTTTCCTTCTCAAGGCCCCTGCAGTTATAAACGGGTCCCTTCTACCTAGAATACCTACATATTTTCCGTCCTTCTCCTGACTCCTCTATTTCAAGACAGGCCTTCAATGCATACGTACATAACTTCTTTGAGAGGCTTTTAGAAGTTGGATAAATCTTATCCTTACTTATATACGTACATGTTTGCTCCTCAGGGAAAACTATGTCCATGGCAGCAACAACTAGCAGCAGCAAAGGCAGCCATTCGACGTTCTGACATGTCTCCCGAGTATCTTCGTGTTGTTCATTTTGGACGCCCTAAAGGTATGGGTTTTTCTGCTTCTTCTTCTTCTTACAGATTTAATTATATAAATGCAGCAAAGAGGCTGTGGGTGATCCTGGCACAGTCGAGCTGGTTAGGCACATTGTCAGTTGAGGGCCCTTGTCCCCTCTACACGCAGCCCAGAAAATTTGCAGCGTTATTACAATTTACGTCGTAACAGCGCTGGCTAGTCGAATCCACCCAGAACTTTTCGGATAGACTTTAGATAGTGAGTTCGAATCCCGCTACGCTTGGTTTGTCAGCTCTATACCTGTGATCGTGGGTTTCACTTCAAGCCGAAATGCTTTTCAAGGTTGCCCTAACTAAACGCATTCACCAATGCGTTAGAGTTAGAAAATGCAAATGATGACATTTTCTCTTAATTTTTAGAACAAATTTACGTTTTGTCATTTTAATTTCATCTTTTACTTCACAGGGAGAGGAATAGTTGCAAATACTTACATTGCTCGAGGCGAATACGTAACGTATTACAATGGAATACGGGACATCATAGAACCAGATATAGACGACAACACCTACACATTTCAAATAATCCATCGCAGTACACGGTTCTGGTAAGTGTTCTAATTAGGAGCATTGCGAGTTGGCATGGTTTCTGTCCTAAACGTCCCGCTAACTTAACCATGAAGATCCCGTAAAGAGACTTGTTATAATTACAATTTATGACGTGAATACGATACAGTTACGAATCCAGTAGTTCAATTTTGTTTTCGCAGAAAGTGAATCATGTTCACAATGTTTTAGATGACTGTCTCGACTGGATATATGAAAGGAAAAACACATATTAAATACCCAGCTTTATTGTAGGCGTAAGCATTTCACTGAAAAAACCTAACTGAAAACAAATGTGTATTTACTGTGAACCGAAAGTGTCAATAGAATGGTGGATCAGGCACTGTGTTTGAGGTTGGCGAATGGTATACCATCGACCAGCCATGCCAACACATGAAGTTTCATACTCCAGTGAACACACACAAAGTGAAGTTAATTCTCAAATATTTCCGCCCTATTTTATATTCCAAGGGTTGATGCGTCAGACGAAGATGGTTCTTATGGGAGACTTATCAACGATGAATGGAGAATCCCAAATATAAGGTCAAGGACGATCTTTGTGGACGGGGAACCTCACGTTAGTTTCTTTGCATTGAGATCAATAATTGCCGGTGAAGAAATCCATTATGATTATGGGGGCAGTGAGAATTTTCTTCCATGGAGAAAACAGGTATGTACCTGTTGCTATTGTTCACGTTTTCTTATTTCAGCCCCCATACTTTCCAACTCAAGTAATGAGTCACGACAAGGGCCGACAACTCTCGACATTATCTGAGGCATTTCCAGGCATTGCTTTGTTAATGATCGCTTATGTCATATTTAGTGAGTCAAGGTTATCTCCGCTTTGAACAGTTCTCCACGGCGTGTCAAGGCCGGAATTATGCAGGACGTGTATCACTTTGGTGTATTGCCCACAAACATAGAAACACAAGCAGTATATCGGGGACCCGAACCTAAGATCAGGCTTATGGCACGCTTGAGTGAGTCAACTCTGCTCAGCGAAATGCGGGACCTTCGACAAACCTATAAACATCTGGCATGTATCTGGCATCGAATCCTAATATCAAGTTCCTGACACGCTTAAGGGAGACGGGGCGGTCGGGTAGCCTAGTGGTTAAAGCGTTCGCTCGTCACGCCGAAGACCCGGGTTCGAATCCCGACATGGGTACAATGTGTGAAGCCCATTTCTGGCGTCCCCCGCCGTGATATTGCTGGAATACTGTTAAAAGTGGCGTTAAACCATACTCACTCACTTAAGGGAGACAACTCTGCATAGCGAAACTCGGCGTCTTTGACAAACATATTAACACAAACAGTGTGTATATTGGATTTGAACCTAAGATCACGTTTCTGACACGATTAAGGGCGCGCCTTTGGCAACTGGGCCTCCTGTGCCTCGCTGAAGTCATATTGTCCAATGAATACTGTACCCATTGTATGGTAACTTATTTTTTTCTTCAAGATATTTCCATGTAATAAGCGGTGCTTTTTGGCGTGTGTTTGGATTAATGTAAGGTTGGATTAAGGTGAGGATTCTAAACCTGGCTGAGGACATCTTTAGATAGAAATCCACTGATGCTTGAGAGGAGGGGGTGTCGCATTCATGTTGAGTCTAGGGTCTAGGGTCCAGTGGTCGCATTCTTTTGGAGACGCATTAATTTCACGATTTACATTATCTTTTAGATTACCTTAGCAGTATAAATCTAAATGTTGTGTTGGAGACAATATGTACCCTTTTCCTTAGATACATGTAGCTATAACTTCTTTTGATACATCTTCCTCAACGACGATGTACCTATTTTTCAGAACACACACAAAAAAATGCTTGAGAAAAAAGAATTTGATGCAGTGACCGAAATGAATATGTCGTCAAAACAAAAGAGTTTCCAAAAGAATATGATTTGTCGTTCCAATAAAGAAATATTGTCAGAATGAGAAACAAAGCTGAGCAGTATATTTCCTGGATTATATATATAGGACGCGATACTTGTGTTGCAGTGCACATGCCGTGTGCTTTATATGTTATTTACTGTTTCAGGATGTGATTTAACAAAACGATCAAGTGACATCCTGGTTTAACCTTCTCCGAAAAATATCCAGGCCAACTTACAGCTTGGATGGACCCGTCTCACGTTGATATCTGCCCATCGTGAATTCATGTTAAAACTAGCCTTGACAACAAAACATACAATGTGCATCATAACAAAAAGCATACAATCCATAGAGAGTTCAATTGTATTTAAGATGTCATATCCAAAATTTCAAATTCCGGATCCACCCGGCAATGGTTCTTCAATGTGAAGATGACATGACTGGTCCTCTTCGGTCCAAACAGAGATGTGCAGCAGCTCCAAAACGAAAACAATTTACTTTTTCTTTTTTTAAACCACAACAAGCATTACAAATACATTCACGATTAATTAGCGTTCGACAGCATACACTGTATAATTATGGGACTGTCTTTGTTAAGATACCATTTGAATCAAAGACCACAGGTATCTAGACCCTATTGTGAACGAACGGTACATGGTTGAATAAAAGCATTTTGAATGGAACCGTCATTGGTTATGGAGTCTTTGCTGTGTCACATATGAAACACCAACGCCAGAGAATAATCCGTCTCGATTATCCCGATACAGATTCCATTGGGCGTAAAAGGGACAACAGCGGTAAAATATATATGATTGGGTCACTGAAAATCAGGGATGACAGTATACCAGTTGAGGACGCCAAATTAATGTCTCCATTTAATATTTTTTATGGTGAATTGTAAAGTATTCACTTAGAAAGTAAATGATAGCGATGTTTCACTTGAGTTCACATTGTCGGTACTAATTTCATTCCGCCTCAAGGACTGAGCTCAGTAAAGAAATACCTGATGAAAGAACATGTTTTGCCCATCTCATTACTTAAAACATAACGTGTTTTGCCCATCTCATGACCTGAAACATAACATGTTTTGCCCATCTCATGACCTGAAACATAACATGTTATTCCAATCAAATGACCTGAAACATAACATGTTATTCGCATCTCATGACCTAAAAATGTTGCCGTGTTTAGCTGTGTCAGTTAACGTGATGATGATTAACATTTGGCAAGAAAAGGAAAATGCCATATCTGTGAGTTTTGCCTGAAACAACAAAAAGTAACATGTTTTACCCTTCTCATGACCTGAAACATAACATGGCATTCCAGTCTCATGACCTGAAACATAATATGTTATTCCCATCTCATGACCTGAAACATAACATGGTATTCCCATCTCATGACCTGAAACATAACATGTTATTCCCATCTCATGACCTGAAACATAACATGTTATTCCCATCAAATGACCTGAAACATAACATGTTATTCCCCTCTCATGACCTAAAAGCGTTGCCGTGTTCAGCTGTGTCAGTTCACGTGATGATGATGAACTTTTGGCAAGAAAAGAAAAATGCCATATCTGTGAGTGTGGCCTCCCGTGAGAGAGTATCGTCACTTATTTGCATTTAAATTACAAAATGAAGTATCACTGCTTCCTCGAATTGTGATGACGATACAAGAGTTATCCTCCTGGATCCGGGATGGCTTGAAATGCGTTGAAGCTGTGGTTGTCTGGTACATTCAAAATGGTTGTTGATGATGATGAGTTACAATCAAACGTCGTATCGACGTTTCTTTTCGCGAAAAACTGGTCTCATCACTGATTTTCAGTGATCTGTTCATCTAATTATCACCGCTAATTGCCTTTTACGACCAATGGAAACTGTTTCGGCGGATAATCAAAACTAGATATTCTCAGGCGGTGACGTTGTATATTAACCTATGTAGAGACGACCATTTCAACAGTCATTGCTCGCTTTTCGCGAAAACCTGGTGTCATCACTGATTATAGGTGACCCATACAAAAGCCACCACTATTTTGTCTTTTACGCCCAATGGAATCTGTATCGATCAATAATTTCGATTAAGTTCTACACGGCAATGTTCTACTGATATTTAGTGTCACTCTTATCGATCGATTCACACGACTATATACATCGCACCTGTTGGCGCCTTTTGTTGTATAACAACAAACATCGGCCATATGCATACCCTGGACAACATTTCTAGGTGTGATGGTGACCGCCTAGGAATTCTAGTCCTAGTGGTATATGAGGAATCAATGTCTGGCGTAGGACATTGTAAGCTTGGACCCAGTCCCGTATTATATATATTGCTATGATTACTTAACACTGCAATATGCAATTTATGTCATTAAATGTACATATTCCACCGATAGAAAGACTCCAGCTATTACACGCCGCGCTAAACAAATGCAACAATGCAGTTATTGTACTCCATATTGCACATGTTACCAACATAGTCCTACAACACGGCATCTGCCACAGGTCAACTGCCAAGCGTCGGTGTCACCTTGTATATGTGCCAGCCAGGAGCTTGTAGTTTAGTTTGTGTGTACGGCACTGAACAAAACTGCATGGGATTCACTTTAGGCATCACTATTTGAACATCTAGAATATGTTTACATGTAGAGAACACAGAATTCATCATTAGGCAGAATCATCTGTCCATGACAACATGCAGGCGAAGCTGCATTCTTTCTGCATAGCTATGAACATTCTACTCAAGTCTCTTACCGTGTGCTGGATCATTGTGGATCTTGGAGGATGCCAAGCGAGGAATGACTTTCAGGCTTGTCTTGAAACATATATTTGTATTTATTAATATTACGATTGATAACACCCATGATTGGTCAGTTTCCTTATGTAAACATCAGGAAACATGCCTTTTTATTATCACCTTGAAGACAGGATGATATTTGAGTTGTTGTTATCCATCCCTTGTATTCGGCAAGATTGATAAGGGGGTCAATCATTTCATTTTCTTTATCGGTGAGGGAGTTTGTGGGTGGAGGCTTGTGGACTTACAAGAACAGGACAGAGCTTGACTATTATCTTTGATGGTGACTATTCCATATTTGTTACACATATTCTACTGAAATTCGCAACTTACATTAAAACCCTTATTCTATGGGATTTTAACACAATGTTAAATTCACAAGTGTTTATGTTAATATACAGACATATAGCGATTACTTATGTCGCTAGAATAGGTAAGGTTCGGGGGAGGGGGGGGGGGGGGGGGGTACTTGGGGATAACGTAATGTTAAAACAGGTTGCACTTATGTAGGAACGAGTCTGTGTGGCTGATGGCGGATTGATATTGCTCTCCGCAGTTTAACATGGATACCACACAATTTACTGGCTTCGAGCCGAGTAGTCCTTATTTCATCCCTTTAATGCTGAGCGCCAGGCAGGGTATCAACAAGTACCATCATTTACCCGGTTTTTTAATGCTGCACCCAAGGGAGCGAACTACCGACTTCCTCTCACCGTATACGAGCTTCAAAACTATACTTTTTGACACTTCACATGGGGTAGAGCATATTACTTAAATATAGACTAAGTCTTTCCTTTATGGTACACATCTGCACTCAGCATGTGTGTTCTTTTTCTCCTCACATTGTTATTGCAAGGTGGAATCAAAGTGCCACCAAAACAAACCTGTATCTGTCCTTAACACCTGCATGTTTGCTTCTCCATACTCCTACATTAAGTGACAAGTCCTCAATACCAACGCTTTCTTCTCGATACTTCTACAATAGCGACGAGTCCTAAATACCTACATGTTTGCTTCTCAAAAGCTCTACATTACGTGACGTGTCCTCAATACCTACATGTTTGCGTCTCAATACCTCTACATTAAACAACAAGCCATCAATGCCCACCTGTTGGCTTCTCACGGCCTCTACACTAAATGACGAGTAATCAATATCTACATGTTTGAGTCTCAATGCGTTTGATGCCTTTACATTAAATGACATGTCCTCAACATGCTTGTTTATCATGACCTCAGCATTACGTGAAGCGTTCTGTACATGTCAATCTGTGTCTTTATTTGCCTCACAGGGGACACTGTGTCCACGGAATCAAGAACTTGCAGCAGCAAAAGGAGCCATCCGACGTTCTGACATGTCTCCAAAACATTTCCGTGTTGTTGATTTCGGACGCCCCAGAGGTCTGTTTATTCATACAATAGTTTCCTCACCAGTATGTCATTGACATTCGTTTCATTCGACGAGCTTCTAAGATGTAAATATCTAGTCATGTTTGTGCCCAAAGGGTTACTTTGTCCATGCACTGTGTCTCTCTACAATATTTCTATACTTCTTTAACCGTGATGTTTATGATATATATTGCCAAGCTGTTTGTCTAGTGGCTCCTTTTAAGCACGATTCATATGTGCTAAAGGAGGGGTGTGTGCTTACATACATACAGATATTCTTATTTAAATTGAAATCCCAGGACCATCGAAAAAGCAAAACACTATCCATGTGAGTGTAGGCCAAGAAGGGTGACTTCAACAATTGCTTTGTCTGTGCATGTGTTTGTGACGGATGCCACCGGTGGGGCAGAATGCGTATACCTTTTCGCGAACACCTGGTAAGATCACTATTTGATGGTGATTCATCCACTCTTGCTCACGGTCCAGTCGGAATCGTACAATGGATTTCTCTTGGATATGGAAAGGGTTTGTCGCTTTGATTTATTATTCAACTTCCCAGTAGTCAACTTTCCCTTTATGGCGATCAATACTCCAGCAACCATTGAAGTCTAATTTCACCACCTTTGGAGTACAATCGTGGACAGCACTGTAAAAGAAGATTTCAAAACGTCATACAATTCTTGCCGGAGGCTGTTGCACAGCGTTGCAACATTCAAGGCCTCAGTAAATCTGAACGTTTATGGTGGACAGGTGGAGGACATTCATAAATCGTTGCATCAGTGACAAAAACTGTCTGATGCAATTCTCTATTTTGACTTGTCCCATGTGTTCCTATGTTTTGTCAGGTGAACAACTGTCATGCCTTTGCATGTGTTTGTGACGGGTGCCACGGATGGAGCAGGATATGCTCACCTTTACGCGAAAACTGCCGTCACTATTTGATAGTGATTCATAAACACATGTTCATTCCACACAAACATATCATTTTATCTAATGAAATGGTTTTACAAATAAGATGCAACACCCTTTCCATATCTATAAGATATCTCTTCTTAAAGCAGAGCTAACTGAATGTTTACGACTATATTAAGAACATGTGTTTCTGATACCAGGTGTCACTCTAAATCTTTATGCATAGATCTAAATTTGATGAGGCGGCCTCATTGGACTCTTTTTCTGGTTCAGGTGGGTAAATCAGTGGAAGGCAGTTATTGAACGATATCAGGTCATCAATATCCATAAAGGTTAAGTTAAACTTCCTGTCCAAATTCCCTTGTTTTTTTATGTTTAAAATGATCGCTTATTTCTATCATTCTTTCTTACTTTCAGGGAGGGGCATAGTCGCAGACAAGGAATTTGCTCATGGTGAATATATGCTGTATTATGCAGGAAAGTGGGATGTTATAGAACCAGACACAAGCGACGATGTTCATACCTTTCAAATTAGTTACCGTAAAATGCGATTTTGGTAAGTATCTATTTTCTACTTTTGTGTCACTTGCAAGTGTATAACTGTTCTGTAAGATGGTATGTGTTGACCTCTCTGTGCTGGAATATATGTGTAGAACTTTGTATGATTGTATTGTGGACCTAACTGAGCTGGAATATATGTGTAGAACTTTGTATGATTGTATTGTGGACCTCTCTGTGCTGGAATATATGTGTAGAACTTTGTATGATTGTATTGTGGACCTCTCTGTGCTGGAATATATGTGTAGAACTTTGTATGATTGTGTGTGTTGACCTAACTGAGCTGGAATATATGTGTAGAACTGTGTATGATTGTATGTGTTGACCTAACTGAGCTGGAATATATGTGTAGAACTTTGTATGATTGTATGTGTTGACCTAACTGAGCTGGAATATATGTGTAGAACTTTGTATGATTGTATTGTGGACCTCTCTGTGCTGGAATATATGTGTAGAACTTTGTATGATTGTGTGTGTTGACCTAACTGAGCTGGAATATATGTGTAGAACTGTGTATGATTGTATGTGTTGACCTAACTGAGCTGGAATATATGTGTAGAACTTTGTATGATTGTATTGTGGACCTAACTGAGCTGGAATATATGTGTAGAACTGTGTATGATTGTATGTGTTGACCTAACTGAGCTGGAATATATGTGTAGAACTTTGTATGATTGTATGTGTTGACCTAACTGAGCTGGAATATATGTGTAGAACTGTGTATGATTGTATGTGTTGACCTAACTGAGCTGGAATATATGTGTAGAACTTTGTATGATTGTATTGTGGACCTAACTGAGCTGGAATATATGTGTAGAACTGTGTATGATTGTATGTGTTGACCTAACTGAGCTGGAATATATGTGTAGAACTTTGTATGATTGTATGTGTTGACCTAACTGAGCTGGAATATATGTGTAGAACTGTGTATGATTGTATGTGTTGACCTAACTGAGCTGGAATATATGTGTAGAACTTTGTATGATTGTATTGTGGACCTAACTGAGCTGGAATATATGTGTAGAACTGTGTATGATTGTATGTGTTGACCTAACTGAGCTGGAATATATGTGTAGAACTTTGTATGATTGTATGTGTTGACCTAACTGAGCTGGAATATATGTGTAGAACTGTGTATGATTGTATGTGTTGACCTAACTGAGCTGGAATATATGTGTAGAACTTTGTATGATTGTATGTGTTGACCTAACTGAGCTGGAATATATGTGTAGAACTTTGTATGATTGTATTGTGGACCTAACTGAGCTGGAATATATGTGTAGAACTTTGTATGATTGTATTGTGGACCTCTCTGTGCTGGAATATATATGTAGAACTGTTCTGTAGGGTTGAATGTGTTCACCTCTAAGTGCAGACATATATGTGTACAGCTGTTCTGTAGGACTTAATGTGTTGACCTCCCTGTGCAACCATATATGTGTAAAACTGTTCTCTGGGATTGTATGATTGTCTCTATGGAGACATATATTTACGTGTAGAACTGCAAATGTAAGTGTATGTGTAGAAACGCTTGAGTAGAACTGTATGTGTAGACCTTAATGTTGATTAACTACTTCTTTTAGAATTGCTGTGAACGACGTTGATCCTTACTAATGCTATCACCCACGGGTAGTTGTCTCACACCGACAATGTTACCATACACATACCAATATACGTCTGTCTATAGGTTAGAATTAGAAGCACCTCTCAATTGTGGGTGGTAGAGATATTTTGACCAAATAAAGTTCCTGTTTAAACTGGCGATCATTCCATGTAGCCAAATAGACAAAAACCTCGAGCTATGGGCACCATCATATCTAAATGCAATATACTTCACCACTGTTAAACACATTACCTCAGGGTTTTTTTTGCACTAAATGCTTAAAGATGCTGCACTACTCGCGAATTCCCAAATCACATAATGTATTACTCATCTCTACTCACCTTCCTCGTTGCGTGTCATTTTTTTGTGAGAGGAAAACAGGAAGTCATGCGTTTCACAGTCCTAGACGTTACCACTTTAGGTGAAATCCACGAGCATGGGTATAATGTTTAATCAGGGTCTATCTGAGATTCGGACCCAGAATCACATATTTCCATGCAGTTTGTTGAGAGATTGGTGTACATGTATTGTGTTTGTACCATAGAGGGGATTCATTAACATATATTTTTACAATAACATTATAAGAACACACGCTGAATTTTATGAATTGCCATCGCAAAATATTTATTTAGTCTTTCTTATAATAAATTGATGTTCAGTGGGTTGTGTAGGCAGAGAATGTTGTGATTATTTATTGTGTTGGGTTCAATGAAAGGTTTGATGCGGAAGAAGAGGATGGTTCGTATGGGAGACTCATCAACGATGCATGGGGGCACCCAAATACACAGCCACGGGTTGTCTTTGTAGACGGTGAACCACGTATCGCCTTTTTCGCCTTGGGATCAATACATGCTGGTCAAGAAATCCTATTCGATTATGGTGGCACTAATGATCTCCCGTGGAGGAAACAGGTACGTCAGTGATCGAATCTGGACAAGGCAAACCCGTGGTCAGTAGCATGGGAAATTATCAACATTGACTGATCACACATTGTACTCAACTCCCCGTATGAAAGCTTTTCGACACCTACGGGATGTACTGGTCTTATACAATTTAAATGATATGTAAACCAACCAGAATTCAGCTGATACACTGAAGCTCAGACAAACGCTCTTACGCAATAGATGTTTGTCATTTGTACAATTAAGGTCCGATACAATAGTGATGCTCGAGCTGCACATACCTCGAGATTTATAAAGACGCCTGGGAAGTTTGCGCCACCAGATCATATTATACGCTATGTACTATTCGTGGGACTCCAGTATCCTGGTGTACACTATGCTGGAAGGAAGACCCGTTATAGCTTCGCCCCGCACCTGGACTTCTTAACTGTATCTTAATAATTCTTAAAAGTTCTGTCGTGAGTCCTCTATAACATATGCATAACTCATATCCAAATATATCTATCTACTTATAACACACATGATAGTTTATTTATGCCAGCTATATGTGAATTAGTAGCGTGTCAACACATATAAAAAAATATTGTAGAAAATGTGCAAGCTTGTAGACTATAAACTAAAGACCAATGCTCTTAGGCCGCATATCTCAGCAGGTGATGTCAACATGTCATTGGGGATGTCGTGGCTGAAAGTTCAAATTTCATTCCCGAAACAACAGCAATATTCCAGTTATATAATCTTGTAAATATTCGACGGACAAGCATTTGTTGAAAGTTAGGGATGCATCGATTGATTGAATTACCACTATCGATGGCAGGTGTTCATGGTGATGTGGCAATACGTCGTTGACAGTTGAAATGCAATAATAGGGATCGATGCCCTCTGCACACATGACAGAAAATTAATGTAATACTGTTATTTACTTTTCATTTTGATTCATATATACATATATGCCTTGCTTGAAGAGAAGTATAAAAAAGCTGAGACAATAACCAGAGGTTCTTCCCTTCCCTGACAATCTATTGTATTTAGGACTTAGTGGACTAAAGGTTTTGTTGTCATGTAAACTACTGGAAGGAAATGGACTTTGTCTGATGTACATGTAGTTATCAAACTATCATATTACCATTTCAGTAGTTGTACCTATATTGCAAGATGGTGTCTGGAACTATAAACAATACTATTGTCACACTTATAGTGCTCCCAGTAATCTGCCCTAAAATAATGTGACCGCCGGGCTAGCACACATATTCCACCACGAGAAACCTGCTTGCCCGTATATAAGTCACCGTGGTCCAGTGGATAGAGCGTCTGCCCGGTTTGTAATGCTCCGCGTCAGTATAATGTGTCTGGTGGGGTATTATTGTTAAATTGTGGCATGGTACCACAGTGGGCTAGCACTATACAGTCGGCATTAGTATAACAAGCAGCCAGTCTCTCTCTCTCTCTCTCTCTCAGACACACACACACACACACACACACACACACACACACACACACACACACTCGCACGCACGCGTGCGCACTCTTCGCTGTAAGTGAAATAATCTTGAACGCGACGTTTAATCATATATCACCTCACCTCACCTCACCTCACCTCACCTCACCTCATATGGTTCTTACTTCACTATCTATCGTTCTGAACATACCATTGTGCGGGTTGTAAACTGGGTTCCATGTTTACTGTTTCAGGAATTAGATGAAGCGAATCACCTTCAGACGCCTTGATATCTGGGACAAATTTGAATATTTGAGTTTTGTGAACACGTCAGTTGCATCGCCAACACAGAGCACGAGACACACTATGTACTGAACAACAGCAATATTGGTGATATATGGATATTGGTGATAAATCGAGATGGTCTGAATGAAGAAGCGGAATGCACCAATTAAACCCGAATGGTCGCGAAGTGCTGATGGATTGAACGGAGAATGTTGCTTCACATTACTACTATTTGTGTTGCCACGTTTATGATCTACTAGTAACCGATACATGTGCATATCCACGTAGTGCGCCATATGGCCAGGGTCCGCTGACTTTGTTGGAGCATGCCATTGTATCCCAATTGCATCGATTATTTACAGGCCGCCTTCATATAACTGGAATATTGCTGCATGCGGCGTTAACCAACCAACAACAAAAGTACACCACGAATACCTACCACTTCGAGATATGCCGCAGATGTCCGATTCCTTTTTTCAGTTTGGCATGTTTCACTAAACCTAACAAAACCGTCGAATACCATATTAATCAAATCGAATCGATACGGAACGTAAACGATATCTTTGATATCTCTGACCACTTCTAGCAGGGATGGGAAGGGTGGGCACAGCCTTATTCAGTCACAAGCAAGTTATTGACCTCGTTGAACGTTTGTAACATGATGGAAGAATGTTTAAGAAATAAACGACAAGTGGGAGTTGTTTATCGTACAATAAAACACTACAGGGAGAATAATTCGTGATGGGCGCAGCCTTTTTAAGGATGTTAATTGTAATGTACAAGCTTCACAAATATTACCCGTACCTAAATACTGATGGCTCCCTGGATAGAATCCGACCTCGTCAATGTTGGAAAAGTCCATTTTATGAACAGCGGGGTTATAGTTGGTCTTTTCCGCATATTCCAACAATGTTCATGTCTATTATCTGTACCTTTTCTCCCAAGACCGATTGTCATATCTCTCCCACTTTTGGATGCGATCGTTCGGAAACTGCGTTTATCTGCGTAGCCCAGCTACATCTATGCGGAACAACTTCCTAGACACTTCCCTCTCAAAACTAACGTCGTCCAATATATGACGTCATGAAGTTGCGAGCGCATATTCGAATCTTCAGAAATGACGTCATGACATAGCAATGTTTTATCGTTCAATAAACCACGCTTCGTTCTTCATTATTCTTAGCGATTAATCGCGTAGCTAGCTCGTATGTGTCCATAAATGTTTTCAATATCTGAAATGCAGGAATGTGACCTGCGGTTTAATTTTCTCAACCTGATACTGGTATTAGTTCTCCAAAGATTTCAGAATAAAAGATGCTTTTCATTGTTTTAAATCTTTAAATCTTTTATTGTATTTAATTCTATAAAATCATGTTTTACTGGTATTTTGCTGAAAATATATAAAAACACAAAAGACAACCACAGTAAATTGGGTATAGCTGTTGAGGCATGGAGGTCGAGAATCGGTACTTTTGTCAGCCGTAGAGGCCACAGGCAAGTGGAAACAGTTCCACCCTACACACCGATGTCTGACTGGATGCAGGTACGTCCATGGCTTACCTCTAGTTACTGTGTACGACACTCTGTCTGACTGGATGCAGGTACGTCCATGGCTTACCTCTAGGTACTGTGTACGACACTCTGTCTGACTGGATGCAGGTACGTCCATGGCTTACTGCTTGTTACTGTGTACGACGCTCTGTCTGACTGGATGCAGGTACGTCCATGGCTTACCTCTAGTTACTGTGTACGACACTCTGTCTGACTGGATGCAGGTACGTCCATGGCTTACCTCTAGTTACTGTGTACGACACTCTGTCTGACTGGATGCAGGTACGTCCATGGCTTACCTCTAGTTACTGTGTTCAACACTCTGTCTGACTGGATGCAGGTACGTCCATGGCTTACCTCAAGTTACTGTGTACGACACTCTGTCTGACTGGATGCAGGTACGTCCATGGCTTACTGCTTGTTACTGTGTACGACGCTCTGTCTGACTGGATGCAGGTACGTCCATGGCTTACCTCTAGTTACTGTGTACGACACTCTGTCTGACTGGATGCAGGTACGTCCATGGCTTACCTCTAGTTACTGTGTACGACGCTCTGTCTGACTGGATGCAGGTACGTCCATGGCTTACCTCTAGGTACTGTGTACGACAATGTCTGACTGGATGCAGGTACGTCCATGGCTTACCTCTAGTTACTGTGTACGACGCTCTGTCTGACTGGATGCAGGTACGTCCATGGCTTACCTCTAGTTACTGTGTACGACGCTCTGTCTGACTGGATGCAGGTACGTCCATGGCTTATCTCTAGTTACTGTGTACGACACTCTGTCTGACTGGATGCAGGTACGTCCATGGCTTACCTCTAGTTACTGTGTACGACGCTCTGTCTGACTGGATGCAGGTACGTCCATGGCTTACCTCTAGTTACTGTGTACGACACTGTCTGACTGGATGCAGGTACGTCCATGGCTTACCTCTAGTTACTGTGTACGACGCTCTGTCTGACTGGATGCAGGTACGTCCATGGCTTACCTCTAGTTACTGTGTACGACGCTCTGTCTGAGTGCATGGTGTTCGTGTACACTCACTGCATTAATGATAGGATCCTCATTACCCACAACAGATATACAACCATCGTTGTGTTTGAAGATTGGAGATTTGTGGAAGTATGGATGTACAGGGAACATTGTTTACATGGCGAAAACTGGACAAGTAACATGCCATTGAGAGTCATCCGTTTGTGAAACTTCTAAATCTAGTTGAAGACAATAAACTATATCCACAGGTGAAGAAATTATTGCGGATATTAATATCGGATATAAATCAACGAATTGTGGACTCAGAGTATAAACTCACCAAGGACAGTAGTTCTGTTAAGGATGAGATGCAGTCTATCAAGACAGAGGTTCGTGACTTAAGGTGTTATGTGAACAATAGCGGAGAAGAGCAGGCTACAGTAAGACCTAATATCATCCTTTATCTAACAGGATGGATGACATAGAGGGTGATTTAACTAGCATCGGCGTCAGGCAATAAATACTTACTTTCTTATAATTATCGTGTCAGTGGCGGGTGCTACCAGTAGGGCTGGAAATGCTTACCCTTTTCGCGAACACATGGTGTCATCGCTGATTTGCCGTGGTCCCTTCATATAATTTTCAAAGCTATTCTGCCCAATACACCAAATAGAATTTATTTCGGCGAATAATCAAGACTGGCTTTTCCCTCTTGCACGGATGTTTTATATTTACAATCTAGAGTATAGAATCAAGAGAGTCGACGCAGAAGAAACAGCGTTATACTATACGGCGTTCCAGAGGGGGACAGGGAATCCTACAATATCTGCAAAAAAGGCATTAGGTGTCTTGAACAGAGCTGGAGATTAGGACTAGAAACCACCTTCACTGGGACTGAGGGATGGATATTGAACGAGTCCACAGATCATCTACAAGAAATGATAAAAATCATGATCAGACCCCTAATATTGAAAATGTCACACTAATAGGACAAGATTCAGACAGTTAGATTGAGGGATACATTAACGATATGGATTATGGTGTCGCTAATGACCTAACTTACTCTCAAAGCAAGAGCTTAACAAACTGCGTTCTGAAAATCCAGACAAAAGATTTTTCATTTAAGCAGGTAAAGTTGTCGAAGACATGAGACGAGAGGCAGTAAGTATCAGCAATACACAGAGAGGCGATAGTGATAGGAGTGAACAAGTAGAAACCAGGAGTGATACTAGAAGAGGTCTAGATGTCCAGAGAAGGAGTGAGAAATAAATCTCACAGTCTCAGTCCCGGGGCATCACTAAGACAGTAGGGAAGCAGGCAGGGCTTCGGTGATTATAGAGCGCTTCACACAATTGTACCCAACAAACCCAAAGTTAACAGATGATGGCATTTTAATGCAATATTTTGGAATGTGTCTGGGCTTAGAGTAAACTTAATTGACCTAGAGTTTATTGACATTTTAGCTTCCTTTCATGTAATAGAACCGACAGAAACATGGATGACATTACTAACCAAGAAGCAGAAAGGAAATACCTCTTGGCGACTGTCAGGTGTAACTCTACTGAGTCTCTTAAAAACAGCTGATAAAGTTTGTGAAATGGTCACAAGAAAATGATGGTGGTATATCTGTTCTTTTTGACAAGAAACTATTTAATTTCTTAGTAAGATATATTATATGCATGTGCGTATATTCGTCCGGTTTTAAACCCGGTGTAATGATCCTACAAGAAAGGGCAGTAATGGTATAATTCTCCTGCAGAATGATTTTCTTGATATCCTCTATCAGTGTAACGATGTTTACATAATATTTGGCGGCGACGTTAATCCTCGTACCACCACGCCGAAGACTCGGGTTCGTTCCACATGGGTACAATGTGTGAAGTATATTTCAGGTGTCCCCCGCCGTGATATTGCTGGAATATTGCTAAGGCGGCGTAAAACTATACTCACTCCCTCACCCGTACCAGCACATAAGCTCATTTTGAAGAAGATAATATTCTTGATTTCTTAGAGGGTCGTGGTAATTACACGTGGAACTTTTTACTTGATCATTTCAAATTAAGAAGATTTTCTGCAGGGTCGGGTGTAAATTATTTGGGCAAATGTTTGTCAGATACTGTTCTGAATATACATATTATGAATGGAAGATGTGGTACAGACACGGGTATTGGAGATTTCACCTGTATTGGAAACCAGGGCGCCGGTGTGGTCAGCTATGTCATCAGTTAAACTGACTTGTTTGATAAATGCGAAAGCTTAAAAGACGGTCTCTCGCCGAGTCGTCAGTCCAGTCTTGTTGGATTACGTACGCTTCACGAACTTGATGATGAATCAGCAACACCTCATTCAACTTTGTTTTGGTAGAAAATAAGGTTGATCAATTTAGAGTGAGTGAGTATGGTTTTACGCCGCTTTTAGCAATATTCCAGCAATAACACGGCGGGACACCAGAAATGGGCTTCACACATTGTACCCATGTCGGGAATCGAACCCGGGTCTTCGGCGTGACGAGCGAACGCTTTAACCACTAGGCTACCCTGACCGCTACTAATTTAGAAATAACTTATTTTCGAACACGACCCGGGATTTACTGGAGAAGGCAGCTGACTAAGCATTTGATATCTTTAAGGATAGCAAAAGATATATCGAAGATGCGTTATGCTAGCTGCTTCATGTATGAACAACATAATTCCAATAAGAAATCTCATCTGCAATGGGTTGATAGAGAATGCCGATTCCCGATAACAGAACGATGTAGATGTTTGAATCAGTTTAGTAGCAATAAATACATTAAATCATTGAATAACTACAACTTTTCTAGGAAAGGATACAAGAGATTGTGAAGGCAAAAAGGTGAATATTACAAACGCAAACAAGAAATTGTGGAGGGGAGTATTAACAATAATTATTATGAACAGTTCTGGTCTACAAAAATGTCTCCGTTCACATTGACAGCCTCAGAACAAGATTGCAATCGAACATTGGTTTCTACATTTCAAAAATGATTCTGATGATTGAAACAAAGATTATTTTGATATGTCTACTTTCGACTTCTATGACAATCATTTCAGCGGGGTGACAACAGACATTTTCGATGATTCTCCAAATACGAACAAATAAATATTTGACAGTATTAATCAACTTAAAGAACAATAATGCATCGGGTTCGGATAAAGTCATTTCAGAATTTTTCAAAATTTCATCAGACATATTGGGTTCCTTATCTTGAACAGATCTTCAATATCATGTTTGAAAATTCTTATTTTCATGAGAATTGGTCACTTTGCATTATTATTGCGTTTCACAAACAATGAACTGTGACTGATACAAATAACTTTAGATTATGTGTGCTTCTAAGCGTATTTAGGAAATAGTTCACATATACCATTAATAATAAAAGCGCCAAAACCCTTTCCATATTCATAGGAAATATCTGCTAAAAGCAGAGTCGTTAGTTCGCTTGCGATCATGACTAGAGCATGAATCATGTAAATAAATCACTATCAAATAGTGATGAAACCAGGTGTTCGCTAAGGTAGCACCAGTCACAAACACAGGCAAAGGCAAGTCAAATGTTTTCATAAAAAGACACGGGACCATATGGCACAGGTCCAACTAGAAAATTGCATCGTACAATACATTTGTTACTGTGCCTCAAATTTGGATATGTCATCCACATGTCAACCATAAAACATTTTGAAAGCTTCACGGGGGCCTTGAATGTTGTAACCTTGATCAAACAACTTTTGAGCAAGAGCCGTATGACGCTCTCTGAATAGTTGGTGGAAAGACCGAGCGATAATTCCGATTCATGTGTATAAAGAAACAGATCAGCGAGGAGGTGAGCCCAGTTGGTGCCCATGAGGATGGCTTTATTCTTGCCTAAATGTCGAACTTCCAACCCAATGTTTAAATATAGGTTATCAAGGAGTAAATCCAGTATCTCCAATAGTTTTCACAGTATACTGCAGATGGCATGTGCTTTCATTTCTAACAAATTGCACTGAACCCCTGAAGATCGGCATGTAACTGCATCTATGGTCACCATGTTTTGTAACAAATGCCCCATGGATAAAGAATTAAGTTTTTCCTTACGTTTGTCATGTAGGATAGTGGTGTACAAAGTTGAAAAGTCAAATGTTTTGACAGAATTGAACTTGGTTCTGTTCTGAGATTGAAAAAAAGTATGACACATCGGCTGGATACGATGGTACACGATGACCAGAATTGGTATGATGACAAACAGTATGTCATACCATGATACACAATGAGCATTCGATTCACAATTTAATCTTACTATCGAATACTGGCCTATTCTGTCCCGAGTTCCACGTACGGTTCGAAAACAAAGGCAGTGACCATTTTTAGGCAATACTATCCTTCGAACCATAATATGCTGATTTGTTAATTATAAGTTAACCGCAGTGCAGACTCTCTTTCAGAATGTTTATCTGTGGCGTACATGTTTACGCCTTGCTGCAGAGTACAAATTAAGCTCAAATAAAACAAAAGAAAAGCATTTTGTTATCGATATTATTACAATATGTTCTATTCTACAGCATGTTTGTATTTTGTTTTAAGAATTCTGACATTGTTCTTTCACACATTGGTTTTCTTCTTGTCCTCTAACCTGCAAAAAAAAGTGAAATCTCTGATTCAGACGGTCGCGAAGTACAATGTGGTTTGTTGATTAATACAAAGTAACTCTATGCGCATTAACCAAGTTTTCCTTTCCTTTCACATACATATATTAAAATATTATAGAATCCTTAGTTTACAATAAGTATGTTTCCTAATTTCGTGTTTCAAAACATTGAAATAGTACGATTTTGGAATATAATCTACCTACATTAATTCAGCTTGCTAATTGTATGTAATACTGTTGCTTATGTTATATAGCAGTGAAGTTTATTGTTAAAGATAGATTGTAATTGTATTACATTGTTTCTGTTCAAATTCAGTAGCAGCTCATTGCATTGTATTTGGACAGATTTCTAGGTTAACACATTGTTTCAATTTGGGAACCGACACGCAACACTTCATGTATTGGTGCCTTAAAGCCAGACTGAGTGTTATACGGAATACCCTATGATAAAAGTAATGCTTGAACAAGAAGGATGTTTATCATCCAAAACTGGCTCACACTGGAGATATCGCTTGGATGAGATCAAGCGATATCTACACTGTAGATATCGCTGCAATGAAATTACATCACAATGCTTTGCAGACCATTGTGACGTCACTGGTTACCATGACGTCACAATCAAATGACATCACTAATGGCTCTGCTACTGAAGCTATTAGCAGTACTTTTTACACTTAAGACACTGCTTATTACTGTCTACAAATTGAAAAGGTTGGAAGAATGATATTGGATGATAAATAAAATCTCACCCTCGTGTCTTTTGATATCAAATATATCAACACTCGTTGATAAAAGTGGCAAAAAGCCTCGGCAAGCCTCGGAATTTTTTTTCTCCATTTTTATCAACTTGTGTTGATATATTTGATGTCAAAAGACACTCGGGTGAGGTTCTCTATTTATCATCCAAAACTGGCACCCACAGGAGATATCGCTTGGGTGAGATCAAGCGATATCTACACTGTAGATATCGCTGCAATGACATTGCATCACAATGCTTTGCAGACCATTGTGACGTCATTGTTACCATGACGTCACAATCAAATGACATCACTAATGGCTCTACTACTAAAGCTGTTAGCAGTACTTTTTACACTTAAGACACTGCTTATTACTGTCTACAAACTGAAAAAGTTGGAAGAATGATGTTGGATGATAAATAAAATCTCACCCTCGTGTCTATTGACATCAAATATATCAACACTCGTTGATAAAAGTGGAAAAAATCGGGTGAGATTTAGCACCCATTACCTGTCTAACTGCTTTGTTGTATTTTCTGGTTCGGGATTTGATCTTTCTACATGCTTCTGTAGCCGTCCAATCAACCTCTTTAAGGCCATCCTGAAAGATAATACACACACTATGACAGCAGTAAAACAGCGAATGTTATTTGAGATTTTGCGTTAAATAACATATTTTATATAGTGAGTAGTGACACGAAGTCACTTCACCAAAGACAACACACAGACACACCCCACATAAAGCACACCCCAAAAACAGAAAAGAGAAATAAATATCATATCACAGCAGAGAGAACAAGAAAGGCTGGTTCCATATTTTTAACTCATTGTTTGGTCGGTGTTGTGACATTTCAGTTGACTACATCGGTCATGTTCAAATGGATTTTCTTTAACCCCGGGTTAGACCTTTTCTTTGGCAACGTATGCTTGTCGCAAGAACCGTCATCTAGCTGGAACACTGCTGAGTGTGGCGTTAAGCAACAAACAAACAAATCTTAGACCTATTCTTAAATGACATATAATTAGCCAGTTCCCCTTCCATTTGTTTACCCACCTGAAATAGACATAAAGGGAACCAGTGATAATATAATCCGTTTCATATTTACTCATATAACTATGCATTAAGATTCAGTGTGACAAAACAACTACCCACAAGACTGGATGACAAGACCGACGACTTCATACGACTCTTGCTGAAAACTTGTTGGATGAAGGTTACAACATTCAACAAGTGTAAAGTGACCAATTGACTTGCCTTCGCATGTGTTTGTGAGGGGTACCACTGATCTATTCGCCAATATTTCTCATCCGCCTTCGAGGTCAATCGGCTACTGTTATTAAAAAAACCTAATAGTATGTCAATGGTGAAGGGTAGGCAGCGGGGACCCGTGTCTCATGCACCTTATTAATACAATGTCATATTCCAGTTTGGGTTTCGCCCGTCTTCATATGGCTTGCATAATGCTAAATGCTATGCACTCACTCACTCACTCACTCACTCACTCATCTTTAGATAAAAGTTGTCAAGGAACATTTTCAACTTGACATGAATCATCAATTACTGACATTCTCCGTCAACCGCCATCATCATCTCCAGGTTTCAATTTGATATGAACGTGTGCTATTGGATACCTGTTTTCGCCAATAGTTGTCGCTTCGGTAGTCGTATGTGATCTCGTCGCCTCGTTGTATATCGCGGATGGCAAAAAAAGTGATATACATCTCCCCATCAACGTGTATCGCATACATGTCAGCATTCGGATTCACCCAGTCATCATTAATCAGCCGTCCGGAGGAGACTTTGTCACAAGAAAAATCCACCCTGGGAACATAACAAGACATGGGTTGTGGTACCTTTCAAAACATGATGACACATTCCCCAGGGAGCTGAGAACGAAACATCGAGTGCATACTGATCCACTGACCTGTGTAATAAATTAATAATTGAACGCTTGCAGCATACGTCATGTAACGAGTTATTCGCTTACAAGCGGACTATTATAAACATCATAGTGAATACATTGCTTAATACTATTAAATTAAAAAAACATAACTTCAATTAATGCCAAGAGCAAATTTAGATGGATCTGAAGAATTGTTCCAGATTAATCTATTTTGGGAAGACCAAGATGACAACCTCCGGTCCTGATGGGCTCAGGAATTTGCTTCTTCATATTGATCCCAGTATTAATTACAAGACGTACTTTCAACACTAGAGTATCACAACGTGATACATCTTCAAAGAAGTTCAACAACAGAGATAAGTGAAGAGATAGATACATATTAAAAATCAAGTTTGTATTTCTTGAACAAAATCGCTTCAAAACTTATGCAAAAAGGTAAATGAAACTAAATACCACAGTAAAATGGTTATCGTGTCCTGAACATAATAATGTTAGTTAACTTTAAGAGATGTTCGGGTTCTAACTGATGAACATACAATACAAATCTACCGCCCGTTTCAATTTCAATCAGAAAGGATTTGTCCGTGTCCGGGGCTAGTTCGGACAGACGCTGACCAATCAGATACGCAATGAAGTCACCAGATGCAAAGTCCTTCGCAGCTACTACACCTCTGCCTAAAAGACAAAATCAAAATGATTTGATGTAAATCCTCCACAGAGGCAAATGATCTTCCCCCCTCGGCATGTTCTGAATAAACAGTTTTCCTAATGGGGCCTCTGCACCTCATTAAAATATCTCTTACTCCGATACCTCGCGACGAAACGATTATCTCGACATTACTTAGATTTTGAGCAATGCCGCGTGTATCTCGACATAACATATAGTTTGAGCAATGCTGCGAGTGTCTCGACATTACTTAGATTTTGAGCAATGCTGCGAGTGTCTCGACATTACTTAGATTTTGAGCAAAGCCGCGAGTATTACGACATAACTTAGATTTTTCAGCAATGCTGCGAGTGTCTCGACATTACTTAGATTTTAAGCAATGCCGCGAGTATCTCAACATAATTTTCATCTCAATACAAACATCATTCTAATCTTGCACAAGGTTGTCTTATTATTTTTGTCTTGAAAGGAGTTACATGTTTCTGAACATTATTCCCATCTTGATTATTTCCATATCATTCTCATCCGAGACAAAATTATATCAACATAATGTTTACTTCGAACAGGATTGTCACATAATGTTTTTCTCTTACCCACTTGTAGTTATCTCTCAAAACGTAAGTATACTATTCGTAGCTTAAAGCATACTAAAGCATAGTCCTATACACAGGTGTTTATGAGTATTACTATTATGCAATTAACCATGAACAATAATTAAATTAATTTGTAAACAGCTGACCTTTGACTTGGCCGAAGTCCACAATAATGAGATACGATGGTGCGATGTCTTTACTTCGGATAGCAACCTCTGCCTCCTGAATTAAACAGACAGAAATGATTGTTGAAGTACTGGGTGAGTGAAGTATCAATATGGATGAATACATGAACGGACGGGTGAAAGAAAGCGAGTGGCGTATCAAGGTGGATGAATGGATGAATGACTGGATGAAAGATATACTGAGTGGCGTATCAAGGTGGATGAATGGATGAATGACTGGATGAAAGATATATTGAGTGGCGTATCAAGGTGGGTGAATGGATGAATGACTGGATGAAAGATATATTGAGTGGCGTATCAAGGTGGATGTATGTATGAATGACTGGATGAAAGTTATATTGAGTGGCGTATCAAGGTGGATGAATTGATGAATGACTGGATGAAAGATATACTGAGTGGCGTATCAAGGTGGATGAATGGATGAATGACTGGATGAAAGATATACTGAGTGGCGTATCAAGGTGGATGAATGGATGAATGACTGGATGAAAGTTATATTGAGTGGCGTATCAAGGTGGATGAATGTATGAATGACTGGATGAAAGATATACTGGGTGGCGTATCAAGGTGGATGAATTGATGAATGACTGGATGAAAGATATACTCACACGCGAAAGAAACGCAAGTCGAGTATGCAGTATGCATGTTATTTATTTTCAACAGTAAAGACAAGAAATCCTAATAGGGCAAGATTGACAAAATTTTGAGTGAAGACAGTTTATTGGATTAAAAGGTAGATGACATAATTGTTTTTTTCAAATGTTAGGGGTTACACAGTTTCGGTACAAGTGGATGGATGGATGAATGACTGGATGAAAGATATATTAAGTGGCGAATCAAGGTGGGTGAATGGATGAATGACTGGATGAAAGATATATTGAGTGGCGAATCAAGGTGGGTGAATGGATGAATGGCTGGATGAAAGATATATTGAGTGGCGTATCAAGGTGGATGAATGGATGAATGACTGGATGAAAGATATATTGAGTGGCGAATCAAGGTGGATGAATGAATGAATGACTGGATGAAAGATATATTGAGTGGCGTATCAAGGTGGGTGAATGGATGAATGACTGGATGAAAGATATACTGAGTGGCGTATCAAGGTGGATGAATGGATGAATGACTGGATGAAAGTTATATTGAGTGGCGTATCAAGGTGGATGAATGTATGAATGACTGGATGAAAGATATACTGGGTGGCGTATCAAGGTGGATGAATTGATGAATGACTGGATGAAAGATATACTCACACGCGAAAGAAACGCAAGTCGAGTATGCAGTATGCATGTTATTTATTTTCAACAGTAAAGACAAGAAATCCTAATAGGGCAAGATTGACAAAATTTTGAGTGAAGACAGTTTATTGGATTAAAAGGTAGATGACATAATTGTTTTTTTCAAATGTTAGGGGTTACACAGTTTCGGTACAAGTGGATGGATGGATGAATGACTGGATGAAAGATATATTAAGTGGCGAATCAAGGTGGGTGAATGGATGAATGACTGGATGAAAGATATATTGAGTGGCGAATCAAGGTGGGTGAATGGATGAATGGCTGGATGAAAGATATATTGAGTGGCGTATCAAGGTGGATGAATGGATGAATGACTGGATGAAAGATATATTGAGTGGCGAATCAAGGTGGATGAATGAATGAATGACTGGATCAAAGATATATTGAGTGGCAAATCAAGGTGGGTGAATGGATGAATGACTGAATGAAAGATATATTGAGTGGCGTATCAAGGTGGATGAATGGATGAATGACTGGATGAAAGATATATTGAGTGGCGAATCAAGGTGGGTGAATGGATGAATGACTGGATGAAAGATATACTGAGTGGCGTATCAAGGTGGGTGAATGGATGAATGGCTTGATGAAAGATATATTGAGTGGCGTATCAAGGTGGATGAATGGATGAATGACTGGATGAAAGATATATTGAGTGGCGAATCAAGGTGGATGAATGAATGAATGACTGGATCAAAGATATATTGAGCGGCGAATCAAGGTGGGTGAATGGATGAATGACTGGATCAAAGATATATTGAGTGGCGAATCAAGGTGGGTGAATGGATGAATGACTGGATGAAAGATATATTGAGTGTCGAATCAAGGTGGATGAATGGATGAATGCGTGGATGGAAGATATATTGAGTGGCGTATCAAGGTGGATGAATGGATGAATGACTGGATGAAAGATATATTGAGTGGCGTATCAAGGTGGATGAATGGATGAATGACTGGATGAAAGATATATTGAGTGGCGAATCAAGGTGGGTGAATGGATGATATACTGATTAAGTGACGTAACAAGGTGGATGAATATATGAATTGACGATATACTATATGATATTCTCTGTGTGTGACGAATGAAAGGATTAAGTTCCGGATTGGGAGGGATTCGTCAAGTTGGATGGATGGATGTAACGTGGAGGGTGTCATGCACTTCAAGAAGAGGATGGAGAGAATAGATGAAATATCAATCCCGAGGTTCAGATATTATTCAGATAGAAGAAAATATAAAATGATCGTTTGGTGGGCTTTCACAAGAGTGATGTGAGCAGGGGCGTCACTTCATCAATTTTATGAGACGTCACACAACTCATTAACGTAAAAGTAATGCATTCAATAACTATCAATTTCGATATTGTGACGGAGAGCATGAAATAAAACATACCAGAAAAGATGGCTTGGAGGGACAAGTGTTGAATATATAAGAAACCTAGCAGCTGGAATCAACCAATGGTGAAGAGAAAGGTGCATACAAAGATGTCAATAAATAAATATGACACAAGTACTATATTCTCCTGTTCACCTTCTTACGCCACGGAGAGTCCATACTACTGCCATAGCTGAACATGATTTCATCGCCTTGGTGAATTGGACGATTAGCGAAAAATGCAATGTGAAGGACTCCATCAACGGTTACACTTTCTGGTCTGGCGTTGGGTTTTCTCCAGTCATCATTCAAGAGTCTGCCATAGGACCCGTCATCCTTGGAGGCATCGATCCTGTGGGATACACACGTGATCAGCACCACAGTGGAACAAGAACAGGTAGTTTATCATCTAATATTCACTGTGAGTTTGGTTAAACAATTATAGAGCAGCATTTCAGTATTTCAAATGAGTCTGCTCAATGTGGGAGAAAAAATCCGGCCATTATGAAAGTCGTAGACGTATAAAAAATTTCGTAGTTGTGATAGTATTATTTGTAGAGGTATGATTATTTAAGATTTAACTTCAATATGTTATGTATAGGTGCATATAGGTAAAGACCATTGTGTTTACTGTGTGAAGCCGCGTAGCAACACCAGCTCCACCCGTTCTATCATTAGCCAATCAGGAAACAATTTTCGGCTAGTGAGTGACGCCTATTCTTTTGAATATTATGAAAACCTAAACACACACAAATCAGACACTGCAACCGCTTACCGCAATATTCCAGCTATATGGACCAGACAATCCAGTGATTAATATCATGAGCATCGATCCACACAATTGGGATACGATGACATGCATCAACCAAGTCAGCGAGCCTGACCTACCGATCCCTCTATTCGCCTCTTACGGCAAGCATGGGTTGCTGAAGACCTATTCTACCCAGAACCTTCACGGGTCAAGTAAGTAGGTAACTTACCAAATATCGCCGTCATCCTGTTGGATGTGGTGCAGATGCGTTGCATTGACGACTGCAGACTCGTCGAACACGCGTTCCCCAGCGTAGAACGTAATAAAATCATCAGTTTCAAAATTCTTCCCGGCAACAATTCCTTTACCTGTAATTTAAAGATGATCTGATACACCTTTAGAGGCCAAACCTGTAGTTTACAGTTTACGAGTAGAACTAAGTGTATTATGTGGCGGCAATTTCCTTAAACGGGACTATAACCAAATTTGAGCGCAGAACATATTAACTACACATGATATCATATAAAACGTTATGATACGGTTGATAAATACAGTGTAGAATTCATTAACATATTAATGAGTGAATGGCTTGTCTTGAACACCGCTTCTAACAGTGTTTCAGTCAATTCACAGAGTGTAACATAATGTCGGATTTACCACATTTGTGAAACCCATGAAGTGACATACCAAGGATCATCATTGGAACGAAGCAGCTTAAGAAGGTATGCACGGAATGCCGCGTAAAGAGAAGATGATTACCTTTAGGCTGACCAAAGTCGACAACAGCAAGATAATCCGGGGCACTGTCTGAACGTCGCACTGCTTCAACAACCTCCTGATCATAAATAAACACAAATACTTTGGCTAAAACATATTTAAGCGAAATATACTCAAAAGACAAGGTTAACGGGACGTGGATTTCTTCCCTTCCCAACCTTTACATATATAGTATGGGGAATGATCCAGGGAAATGTTTTCAAAACAGCTCGAAGTAATTAGCAACCAAGCAAATGTGGCTGGTATTGCATGTTTTGCATGAAATAACGAATATTCAATTGCAAAGGAGATTGTTTCAAGCGTTCTTGAAGCCAGATATCCATATCGTTGCCAAGCTCAGTAATCTCCGGATGTGCAGAAAAGGAGAAGTGGTTGTTTTGATGAGATTTCACCATGCCATGTCTGAGTGAAAATGGCAGATTGTGAGCCGATGCTTTATTTCAGTGCCATGATGGGCTCGTCTCATGTGCCGACATGTTCTGATCAGCATGTGCTTCTTTGATGTACCGACTATAGTCTGTCACACTGCAGTTCCAGGGTCTTTATGTGGCTTATTCTGTTTTACAAAGCATGTAAAGCATTTCCAAGCATACGTCTATGTAAAACATTTAGATGAAACCATTTCTTAAAGAAAATGAAAAAGGACTGTAAAAAGATGGTGCACCTTATTCACGCCCTTGAGACAAAGAACACTTTGGATATTCAATATTTACGAATCGAGGAGTTTAATCAAATCATCAGTTATATCACAAATAATTCTTGGCAATATTGGATTTTTTCCAATAGAAAGCTTTCATATCAGCAAGAACCTGCTTCTATGGCTAAATGGTATGGTCCTTAGAGACTGTGGGATGTTAACTGGTCGTCATCAGTGAGTGTAATCTACGGTCCCTTCGGCCGAAGCTGACAATTAATATTTTAGAAATAATACAAACTATTATGACTTTAAAAATGTATGCCAGGGCGTTTTGGGGTTAAACACTACATCACACCGATACCTGTTGGCCAAGTTAATGTGTGTCACTATACCGTCTTTCTCCACGGAAATTCCATCCCGTCGTTATAACTGTACAAGAGCTCCTCCCCTCGTGGTATAGCTCGAGAAGCAAAGAATGCTACCAGTTGTTGTCCATCCACAACTATTATTGTTTTAGCAGCATTTGACAATGCGGCCCTCCATTCGTCATTGATTAGTCGCCCATATGAGCCATCCTCCATAAAGGCGTCGGTCCTTCGAAGAAACGCACGACAATAAATGTTTAAATATAGGCCACAAAATTCTAGCCGGACACCATAAATCTGTTTGTGAATCACTATCAATTAGTGAGCGAGTCCTGATCTACCGGTAGCACCCGCCACAAACACATGCAAGTGTTTACCTGAACAAACACAAGAACGTCGTATCTAATTCAGCCACAATTGGGATACGATGACACGCATCAAGTAAGCGAAACTGACAACCCGATCCCCTAAGGCACCTCTTACGACAAGCATGGGTTGCTGAAGTCCAATTCTAACCCGGATCTTCACGGATCAGCAGGAGTGCAGACGGATCAAGACTAGAAAAGGATCCCGGACTGGTCAGCAGATCCCGGCACAGCTAAAGGACACAACCCTGTATATTGAATGGCGGCGCCTAATACACCCGGGCCGCCCGCAACCCCTGTCTTTTGGAGATTAGAGTGAATAGAGTGTCTGTCCGGAGAGCGGAAATATGTTGGTTCGATCCCCGGTCGCATCATACAAAAGAACGTTGAAAGATAGCACGTGCTGTTAACCTGCCGGGCCCCCGTTATTAATGGATAAAACATGTTAATGTTATTGTAGTAAATTAGTATTTAACGCGACGTTCAATCCTCACCTCACCTCAGGGATTCTGGGTCATCTGAAGGCATTTTACCTATTTCAACCTCAACTCCAACTCCAAAAGAAACTTAACCATACTTTTAAATCCCTCTAGTTTAAAAAAACACAAAAGATAGATGCATGAAGTAAATTGTATCGAAAAGATCAAAATCTCAACGAATTCAACAGTTAAAATGATAGTCATACATCATCCGATATTGGGATGACAGTTGCTCGAATTGAGGTGGGGTAGCATAAACAAGATTTCGACGTAATGGACACAGGGCACACACATCTAAAATCGCTGAAGTTTAATGACACGTCACAATAATAGCGTGACCACCCCCTGCTACAAGACACGCACATATTCTCAGGCGCGCAGAAAAGGTCAGTCGTCTGATGAGGTCACGTGGGATACGTCGCCATTCTTCTTGGAGGGCCTGGATCAGTTCTTGTCGGTTGGCTGGAGGATGTGGTCACTGTCGAACACGACGATCCATGACATCCCAGAGGTGTTCTATGGGGGACATGTCTGGGGAGCGTGCAGGCCACGGCAACACGTTGACGTTGTTGGCTGCAAAGAATTTCTGTACGATTCGGGCTGCATGGGTTGTCACGCTGATATAGGACACCACGTGGCATCTGTTGTAGAAATGGTAGGACAATCGTACGAAGATTGACATCCATGTAACGCTGACCTGTCAAACTTCCGTTTCATATGACCAGTGGTGTTCTCTCCTGACCACTTTTGAAGTGGTCAAGTTTCTTTTGGTCGTCAGCCTATGTCAATCGAGTTTATTAACGTTTGAGTATATACCATTCTACATATGCTCTGAATATCATTCATCACTCTTACCCATGACACTTATACACGTTTTCTCCATGTAAGGGCCATGAACGTTGCCTATAAATGACATGTCGTACAAATCGTACTGGAACTTACCAAGAGGTGTTACCATCTTTGATAATTCGAAAGCGGTAGGTTTTATCGTCATTACTTGGCTCTTCTAGGGAATGATGGCCATGGTAATATGTCAGGTAATCCCCCTCTTTAAAATCCCTGGCAGCAACCACGCCCCTTCCTGTAACATATAAAATATGTGTGCTCTTAATGCTCATGTCCCGGGGGCACGGGGGACCCATTCGTCTAAGGCGTCGCGATTCGCTGTGCAGAGTTGCGTCCCTTGGGCACGCCAGAAACCTATGGTTGTGGGTTCGAATCCCGGTTCGCCCCGATTATGTTTCTAGGTTTGTCAGCACCATATCCGTGGGTTTCACCGAAGTGGTAAACGTCTGAGACCTGCATCACTTCGGGCTTTCCTCCCACATTAAGCTGACACGCCGCGATATAACTTGAATACTGTTAAAAGCGGAGTCAAACACAACTCACTCACTTACTAATGCTCATGTCCCAACAGATCCTATTCAACATTATCGTCATAGTATGATACATGTCGACAAAACATGAAGCCAAACCTAGGAGGTTCTTAGCAAAAGAGGCTTAACGTTAATGTCAAAGCGTTTTCAGATTTGAGAGTGGTATTGTGTATTTGATGCCCGGAATTCTGGATGACATCATACGCTTCTCTAACAACTACATCGTTGTTGCTACTGATAAACATTAATCAAACTTGATATGTTGTGGATTGAAAACAAGATACTAATTAAGAAAAGTATTCATATGCAGTGGATATTTCCTGGGACATCCAATTCAACCAATCAGGGCACTCATATTCATTTTACAATTTCTAAAATGGACATTAATACTCTACAATGACATGAAGGCGTTTGGAAGATATCGTCAATCGATAACAGTATCTTTTAACTGTTCAAAATGCTGTGTTTTTCTTCTGCATAATTTTTGAAGCACGCAATACTGAACTTAAGATATTCTGTATAATTTGTGAATATTGCATAACTTAAAATAATCATTAAGTAAGTTCTTCTTATAAAATAACGGGGGCATGGGTAGCCAAGTTGTCTAAGGCGCTGCCATTCGGTGTGCAGAGTTGTGTCCCTTTGGCACACAGAAACATAGGATCGGTGGTTCAAATCCCGGTTTGCCAGATTATGTTTCTGGGTTTGTCATCACCATATCTGTGCTCGTGGAATTCACCAAAGAGGTAAACGTCTTAGACCTGCATAACTTCGGGGTCTCCTCCCACGTTAAACTGACAAGCCGTGATATAACTGTTATGCTTGTCAATGCAGCGTTAAAACCAACTCACTTACTTCTAAAATGAGATGCATTTATTTGATAATTAGCGTTGTACCTTTCGGGTGACCAAAGTCAACGACCAGGAGAGAGGAGGGCGCCGCATCTGCGCTCCGGATGGCATCTTCAGCTTCCTCCCATGGCGTCTGTTTGGGAAATTAGAAAATATACCACAGCTAGAACTGTCAGCAAAAATCATAATCGCCGGACTAGTGAGTGAGTGAGTATGGTTTTACGCCGCTTTTAGCAATATTCCAGCAATATCACGGCGGGGGCTTCACACATTGTACCCATGTCGGGAATCGAACCCGGGTCTTCGGCGTGACGAGCGAACGCTTTTAACCACTAGGCTACCCGACCGCCCCTTAATCGCCGGACTAAACACCGTAGGCGAGTTTAGAATCCGCAATACCAGTGCCAAAGTACATTAAGACACATAGTTATAAAGAATAATGCTGTAAATGAAGGTACCAGTAAGTATTTGTTTGTTTGTTTGTTGTCAATAATCGAGTCTGGACCTGTCTGGGCCAGACAATCCAGTGATTGATATCACGAGGATCGTAATTGTGTTTGCAAATAAAATAGTACCGACGCTCAATATCCTTTTCGAAGAATTTCTTCAACTTATGGTAGGTAATTCAAGCGCCGTGTTGTTAGTACGCAGGACAGCTATAAGAAAATTTGGAAAGTCAGATTAGCGCCGAGCTTTGAATATCGGACCAACAGTCTGTCACTCGCACTGCCGGGGTCCTGCCTGTGCAATCAAAATGGTTCGGTATACTTGATCTATCAGCTGAGTTTATATCATGTCCGTGCCATTTTGGATGAGGGAGTGTATGCCAAAGACGTTCATGTTAACTGTACCACCCTATACTGAAGAGGTGAAAATCAACAAACTCTTGCATGTCAGTGACAGCTTCGAATGATCGAAGGGCAAGGTCACCACCGGAATAAGAAAAGACAACCGTGATCTACTCACAGCGCTTTACTCTAGAGATAGGAATGTTATTGTTCACCTTTAAGATATTTTGGGCCACATAATCAGAAGTCAGGCACACTTCTAAGGAGTTTTCGAATGGTTTGTATCTGAAATGTTCACTTTGAGTGGTCTGGTCGTGCAGTCGTGAACAAAAAACTCCCGAAACAGTGCCACAAAATACCTTTCAGAGGGGACACTGACGGCACAGCCGGATCATCCCAAGTAAGTCCAGATATCTGTCCAGATAGTTTAAACTGGCTCAATTTCACCACGCTTATCCTTTTACGTTAAATCAAATTGAAAGTTGCGAAAGTGGTCGGGTGCTAACGTTCATTGGGACCCCAGATCTATTGATCGGTAGTCGTACATTGAAAATGGATATAGCTCGATCATATAATGTCTGTAGAGGCTCTATGCATAACTTATATAAATTAGAACGCAAACCGAATTTCATGCGTGTGACTATCTTGTTTTTTTTTTTAATGAATAAATAAAGAAGTCCCGGTGTGGCAGAGGTCACGGTTATCCAATCAAAACGAATAAAACAAGGTCAACCTTGTACGACACACGTGTGACGTACTGATTTAGTATCTTCACCACGTGGGTAATAACAATAATATAAGCCGTTTAATCTAGAACAGAGTTCTTTCAACACCAGTCAACCAGAAGCTGTTACTGCTGTGACATCGAATTCCCAGAGACTCTGGGGCCTTGGTTATAGATGAAGCCTACATTTATCAAGGAAAATATCAGCTTGACAAACATCTTTGCTACTACACTTCATACACCATTTTAAATGTCCGATCCTTCTGTTTATAGATATGAAGGTTATTTTAATCACATTATTTAAATAATTCATTTAGAACTAATTAGTTTCGTTAGGAAGCTGAAAACATCAAACAGCAACCTCGCCAGGAGTAGTTGTAACATACGATTTTATTGGAGAGAGATTGGTTTCTAACGACGCTCTTTTTTGCCGTAATCTGCTATAAGGATTGTTATTGTTCAAATTCAAGGCGTGACCTTAGGCAGCCAATCAAATTACGGCAATGGATATCGTCCTCGCGATTAATAAATTCAGATTCAAACGAACGGTTTTGGTTAGTCTGAACGTTTTAAGCAGAAACACGCGACCTATATTTACAATATGAAATTCGTGGACGTATCGTGCTATGTTACGCCCTGTGACAAAGAATTTTCATGCACATATTTTGCCATAAAACAAAAAATCGAGGCGACAAAAGCCGAGATGTCCTTTGACTTACATTACGTGAACCACGAAAAGACCGAAATGGCAACTTAATTGTAAGTTTGATAACTTTTAAAAATATTTGTTTTTAGGTATTACCTTTATTTGTTTATCAAAAAGGGTGAATGAGTATGGTTTTATGCAGCTTTTAGCAATATTCCAGCAATATCACGGCGGTGTTTATTAAAGATTCGCTTGAAACGCCATCATTTTGTTCTTGCTACGTCGTAGCCGGGTTTACCTGACCTGCAATGCAAGCCTAATGAAACGAGCGGGAAAACTTCTGTGCATTTTTTCCTCCTATCAATGTCAGGAACAACAATAAAGAGTATTTTGACTCCCGTGTTTAAATATATGTCGACTACAGTGGGACCTTATGCAGAAAATAGTTTTTAGGATGCAATACGCTATTAGCTTATCGGCGACATAAAAATAGGAATCAATCACTGGTTTTCCTATGAAGACTCGATTATTTACATCCGCCGTCATGTCGGAATACTTCTGACTGTGGCGTTAAACAACATTTACTCCCTCTCTCGCAACCCAGCACAGTGATGCTCGTTTACCTTGATACGCCATGGGAGTTCAGAGCTAGCGTTGTAGCTGTACATGATCTCTTCCCCTCGTTCTATTGGACGATTAGCTAAGAAGATGACATGTGTTTCTTCATCAATGGTAACTGTTTCTGTTCTTGCATTAGGCTGCCTCCAGTCATCATTTATTAGTCGCCCATAGGAACCGTCTTCCTTGGTGGCATCGATCCTTTGATCATATGTTTGAGATACACAATTATTAACAACTCTTTAATCATAAGTTTCAGATACACGTTAACAATTTATATTTCAAATAGACCTTAAACAAGAATACTTGAATATTTGTTATATTTGAGTTGTGCCACGTGAGTTTGAGATTGTACTGATTTTAGACAATATTATTAGCCTTGTCACTGTTTGACTTATTTCCCGATATTCTCGGGTTGTATTCAAATGGAAGTCAGAAAGTCCAAATGTTTCCGGGTCATGAATTCACGTAACGATGTTCATGTTGATTATCACAGAGAAATACACTACGTCCCCGCCGTAGCATAACCAGTCTGGATTATCCCTCGAAACAGATGCTATTTTGAGTAAAAGGCAAACTAGCGGTAGCAAATATATGGATGCTTCACTGAAAATCTGTGATGACAACAGGTGTTCGCCAAAAGGGTAAGCATGTCCTGCCCTACCGGTAGCAACAACAACTCGCTCGCTCACTCACTCACTCACTCACTCACTCACTCACTCACTCACTCACTCACTCACTCACTCACTCACTCACTCACTCGCACGCACGCACGCACGCAGGCACACACACGCACACAAAACTTTACAAAAATTGAGGATGCCACCACGAAAAGGAAATTCAGTTCAAGCATGCTGCATGTATTGAATTTGGTAGGTTCAAGTTCATAGTACGTTAGTCCATGTCACACAATTTCAGTCCGGAACTGCATTGGGATAAGCTAGATCGAAATTCGGGACCGTAACTTTGGACCGGTTTGGACAGAATCCTCTTGACCTAGTATTTAGGTATGGATAGTTACGTGATATCACGGCGAGCCAACTTAATGTCGGTGAAGAATCAGATTCAGTTCAGTTTAGAATTGGTCTTTAGCAACCCATACTTGTCCCCGTCAAGAATCGGGTTAGAATTAGTCTTCAGCATCTCATGCTTGTCCCCGTCAAGAATCAGGTTAGAATTGGTATTTAGTAACCCATGCTTGTCCCCATCAAAAATTGGGTTAGAATTGGTCTTCAGGTACCCATGCTTGTCCCCGTCAAGAATTGGGTGAGAATTGGTCTTCAGCAACCCATGATTGTCCCATGAGACGCTTCTCGTAAGAGGTGACCACCGTGAGTCGGTCTCGCTTATTTGGTTGATGCATGTCATAGTATCCCAATTGCGTAAATCGATGCTCATGATGCCAATCGGCCGAGATTGCCGTCATATTACTTTTCAGGGGATGAGACAAACATGACAAGCAAGGTTCATTGTGACATTTCAAAGATGTATGGACTATGATTGCTCGAGAAACTCGAAGCTAAGAATTACACGTTTCTGATCTTCCAAGGTAAACCCTGATCTAAACTAGGTACTATATAGCCTATGTAATATAACTTTATATGCATGCCACCTTACCAGATATGTTTGTCATTTGCGTCTATCTTTAGTGAATATGTAGCGTTCCGTGGGTCTTCCGTCACACAATTCCCATGGAAAAAGGTTATGAAGCCATCTTGCTCAATGTCCACATCAGTGACAACCCCTCTCCCTGTTGAGATACGACAGATTAAAGGTGAGTGAGTGAGTGTATATTTATAATGCAATATTTCATATACAATTTAATGCAATATTCCATGTGTCAGGGCGGCGGGTTAATTGTAACCAGCGGCATGGCCCAAATTAAACCATACTGTTTTGTTAGCCTCAAAATGTTTTCAAAGTAAGATGTCAGGGCCATTGAGAACATTGAAGATTTCTCTGTATATGAAGAAATTGAATCCCACAAACCTTTTGGAAAACCAAAGTCAACCACACGTAGATGTTCGGGAGAAATATCTAATTCGCGGATAGCTTCTTCTGCATCCTAAAAAAACAAACTTATACATTAGGATGCATTGAAACGTGGAATTGTGTGTTCCGCCGAAACAAAACATAATGAATTGATACATGCTTTCCAATAAATCAGTGAGCGAGTGAATTAAATTTTTACGTCATATCTGCAACATTCCAGCCATATCGTGACGAGACAAAAGTATACATTAACAACCATTAAATTCAGAGTGTATGAAATCCTGTCATCGAAGGACAGTACAATAACTAGAGTATCACAGATTGTATATAAAACTAGTTTTAGAGCATGTAAAAGAATATAGTAATTAACAGCAGAATAAACAAAGGGCTATAGATCGCCAGCAACCAAAGATATTGTATATAACCAATTAAGGATTCGGAATATTTATAATTGCCCACTCAGCATATAGATAGGAAGCTGTATCTCTGAACACCAACTATGGTAAACATTTACTTTTACTGCACCTTTTTTCGCCAAGGAAAACCAATATTATTGTTGTATGAAAAAGTTATTTCTTCCCCACGTTGTATTGGACGAGATGCGTAGAAAGCTATATAATGTTGTCTATCAACGTCAGCTACTTCCGGTCTGGCATTTGGATGTTTCCACTCATCGTTTAGCAACCTTCCATAGGATCCATCAACCTCGGAAGCATCGATCCTACAACGATTGAAACATGGTCACTGCGGCCATTATTTCAGAAGTTAGGACGACGGACCAATATTCATAAAAAAGTTGAGAGGAAATTATCCACTTCTAGAACAGGAAAATGTTTTACCTCGTCACAAGCTATGATATGTCTGTCATAACGTATTTCGCCAGAAAAAAATCAATCGTAGATGAATCTGGTCTGTATCTTGCCGAAATAAACTCAATCGAGCAAGATGGACCTATCCCGCTGTTACAGAGATCGAAAATCAATAGTTGAGCTTAATGGTATTGTTTTCCTCCACCGACTTGTGTACAACAAAATCCAGGTTCCAACAACTACAAATATAATAGCCTAAGATAGAAAGGTTGATACCCTGTTACTCAGTGTGTTCCTACATGTTTACAGTCGGAATTGTGTATTTGCAACAGGCGTTGCCCCTATAACTGTAAACCTCCCACATACATTGTCTATTTAACAGTATATTTCACACAGCTTTTGTCCCTTTACATGTATCATATCCACAGGCAGTGTCCCTTTTACAGTAACGTTTCATACAGATATTGCCTTTTTAAATGCTTTTTTCTGCATGCATTGTTCATTTACAGCATATTTGACACAGGCATTGTCCCTATAAATATATATCTCCTAAATACCTGAAACAATATATATTTCCCACAGGTATTGTCCTTTCAAATTAATATTTCCCATATACATAACACCTTTGACATTATATTTCCCACATGCAGTATCTACTTAGCCGTGCATTTCCAGTATACTTTGCCCCGTTAACAGTATAGTTCCTACAGACATTGAACCGTAAACAGTTCAATACCTACAGACACTGACCCGTTATCAGTATAATTCCTACAGACATTACCTCGTTAACAGTATAATTCCTACAGACATTGCCCCGTTAAAGTATAATTCCAACAGACACTGACCCGTTGTCAGTATAATTCCTACAGACATTACCTCGTTAACAGTATAATTCCTACAGACATTGCCCCGTTAAAAGTGTAATTCCAACAGACACTGACCCGTTATCAGTATAATTCCTACAGACATTACCTCGTTAACAGTATAATTCCTACAGACATTGCCCCGTTAAAAGTGTAATTCCAACAGACACTGACCCGTTATCAGTATAATTCCTACAGACATTACCTCGTTAACAGTAGAATTCCCGCTTGCATTGTCCCCTCAACAGTTTTTTTCCCACAGGCATTGTTCACTCAAAAGTTTACTTCTCCCAGGCAGTATTCCTTTAATATTCTATTTCATTTAACAGCCGTGTGTCACCGGTGGGGCAGGATACGCTCACCTATTCTAGAACACCCAGTATCACTTCTTATTGTCCGATTCATAAATACATGCCAATGATATAATCGGAATAGTACAACGGACTCTACTTTCGGCAGATGGTTATGGAAATGGTTCTATACCTTGTATTCACATTAAGTCAGACGCCCAGTCCTTTTAACAGCATATATTTCACTGAGCACATGATGACAATCAGAATGATGCCACATTCCTTACGTATTTTACCGAAGGCATCGACCAGGTCAAGATGCCGTTATAAGAATCCATTCAACCCATAAAAATCAGTGCGTGTTATAATATATTGTTATATGGCAGCGTATTTTATTGTTAAACAATGACTGTAACTGTATTACATAATTTGTTTATTTTGAGATTCAATTTTGATCTCACATTTCATCTGACATTACATGGAGACCAGCTTTTGTGTGAAGATCACTTTTCACCCTGACTTCAGTCTCAGCCTATCGTGGAAGCTTGACCACTGCTAATTTGTTGCTAGGTAAATACATTATCACTGACTGCCACAACTTCAATCTCATCTTAATGTATTGTTTGATAGGCATTGATTAGAAGCAGACGGATGACAAAATGGACACAGTTTCTCATATGAATATGTTTTTATTCTTTTGTGTACTGTCATTGTACTTGCTCTGCAGTAATCTGTATTGATTTGTAAACCTAGTAAATATTGTAATACAATTGTTGATAATATACCATTTGTTGGTTGTTTAAAATTGTTGGTTTCTCTCTGAATTGCTACTTTCACGTACAGATTTCTGGATAAACCTTTTGTTTATACAATTACACAATTCTTAAATCAGTCCTAAAACAATTTGAACGTGGTCTTTAAAGTCACTTTGTCATATCCGATGTTGATTCGGTTTAGTTTTCCTTCGCTTTCTATAACCACAGTTCCCCTATATCACCATCAACAGCTCCACTCTATCACCATCTACAGATCCGCTATATCACAATCTACAGTTCCACAGTCTAACCATCTACAGTTCCACTATATGACCATCTACAGATCCACAATCTCACCATCTACAGATCCACTCTATCACCATCTACAGATCCACTATATGACCATCTACAGCTCCACTATATGACCATCTACAGCTCCACTGTATCACCATCTACAGTTCCACTATATGACCATCTACAGCTCCACTATATGACCATCTACAGTTGCACTATATCACCATCTACAGTTCCACTACATCACCATCTACAGCTCCACTATATCACCATCTACAGCTCCACTATATCACCATCTACAGTTCCACTATCTCACCATCTACAGTTCCACAATCTCACCATCTACAGTTCCACTCTATCACCATCTACAGTTCCACTATCTCACCATCTACAGCTCCACAATCTCACCATCTACAGTTCCACTCTATCGCCATCTACAGCTCCACTATATCACCATCTACAGATCCACTCTATCACCATCTATAATTCCACAATCTCACCATCTACCGCTCAACAATCTCACCATCTACAGATCCACTATCTTACCATCTTCAGTTCCACTATGTCACCATTGGTTTACGGGATCTTGACAAAATGCTTTATCATATGTCCATGTCAGGATGATGATATCTGATTGGTTCGCGTGATCTCGATTGCTGAGCGGGAGAATAAATCCCTTCTACCCCGGAAGAAGACAGGCTGCACGTGGATAAATCCCTGATAATATATCCCTCAGTCAAAGAACGGCACGTGACATAGCACAATTTAACCTCAGCTCAATCGATCAGCTGTTTTCTATCAATTTTGAATTTATTTAAATCTTTTACAATGGCAGAATAGAACATTGATTGTCAGATTGTTATTTGTCGTTTCCCAAAATAGAAACAATATGCTAACCCAGAACTCTGTACATAAAATAATTAGTGTAAAGCCAACAAACAAACAACAAATGCCTTACAATCAATAGTTGTATTACAATAGTAACTAGGTTTACAATCAATACAAATTACTGCCGGCAATTACAATGGCACTACACAATGGAGTGGTGGTACTATATTCAATGGCAGTATAAAATGTGAGAGCAGTGGAAATGATAATGACGAGAATAATATTCACCTCGCTGCAACAACGGTCAAGCTTCTGAGATAGGCCTAGGCTAGAAATCCAGGGTGAAATGTGATCTTCACGCCACAGCTGGTCTTGATGTAATGTGAGATCAGATAGAGAAGCTTCCGCTCCACTTATATAGTCTAACACTCTTAGAACTAGCACTTTCCACACATTGCTAGACCAGTCCAGTGTCACTTGAACATCACAGAATATGTCACATGTTTCTATAATGCTTGACATACACCCATGCCATTCCGGAAGTTTGCAGATAAATCAGTCATCTAAATATAATAACTTCCTCACCACTGCTTACATTAATTAGTACTACATTCCTGACAAATAATCATTTGTCCAAATACATTGCAATGCACTTCGACTGAATCTCAACAGAAACAATGTAATATAGTTGCAGTCATTGTTTAACAATAACTTACACTGCCATATAACACGATAAATTCTTGTTGCAGTATCACTTGTGGTATATGTGGTCTTATGCGTTGCGGGGACGAATGGTATAAAAACTAACGTGGGACGCATAAAACCACATGTACCCCGAGTGATACTGCTACAACCTCATTACAGTTACAACTGACCACTCATTGGGTGTATGTTTGAAGGGATACGGGCCGCCATGTGGAATGTCTTCTGAAATCGGTTTCCCATCATAGAATGTGATGAACTCTCCTTCCTTGAAGTCCTTGTCGGCAATTATTCCTCTCCCTGAAATGCCAGTTTAATATCTCTGTTCATATTGAAAGGAGAAGAAGTCAAACAAGTCTTCTAATATAAAGAGTGGGCGAGTGAATTTTGTTTTACACCTGAAACAACAGTAATTACATCGATATCACGGCAACCTACATGTACCTCTGTCTGGTTCAGACAAACCAGTGGTTGATAGCATGAACAACGATCAACACATCGGTTGTGTAGCATGTTAGTCAAGCAACAAGTGTGATGTACAACTCCTTCTTCATCCCTAACGGGTTTCGTAGACAGAGATCTAGTATAACACAGGCGATAGTTGGATGCATGCATGTTAGTATGGTTAAACAATCAGTACCTTGTAATGTAAGCAGTCACCTACCCTTAGGAGGTCCAAAGTCAGCTAACAGTAGATACTCCGGAGCAATTACTAGGCATCTTATGGCTTCTGTCACTAATGTCTGTAAGATAAACAGGATATTTTCTCAATATACAATGTTTCCATTGACATATAATGACAAAACATGACTTATGACAATGTTTGCAATTATATTTTCCTTTTCTTATCTAAGGCACGTTTGTATTATATGTAGCAGTAGTAGTACCCGCAGTAGTAGTAGTAGTAGTAGTAGTAGTAGTAGAAGTAGTAGTAGTAATAGTAGAAGTAGAAGCAGTAGAAGTTGTAGTAATAGTAGCAGTAGAAGCAGCAGTAGTAGTAGTAGTAGTAGTAGTAGCAGTAGTAGTAGTAGAAGAAGCAGCAGCTGTACTAGGAACGTAGTAGTAGTTTAGCATTACCAGTAGTAGTAGTAGTAGTAGTAGTAGTAGTAGTAGCGGTAGTAGAAATGTTAACAGTAGGAATACTAGTAGTACATTAGCAGGGCACAGCGAGGGAGGTAACAGGAAAAGGGAGGTAACAGGAGGAGGGAGGAAGAAGAGAAGCCAAAAGGAGACCTCTCTTGGGGTTTATTTGTTCTCTACTTTAAAAATGTATATTTTAAACTGGAGCGTTATCTGATATCGAACATTATGTCTTCGGGAAAATGATAAAATTTCAACCGGGGAATAATAAAACACATAACTCGATAACACATAATACCAAAAATAGAACTCTTCAGAAAAAAATACAGCTTTATCTGATTTAGTTGTGGGAAAATGTCTCGATGTTACAGTTAATATTTGTCGTTATCCTCTGTACCTGTTTCCGCCACGGGAGTGACATGTCCTCTCCATAGTTGTACGTGATCTCCTCACCACGCTGAATGTCCTTGGTCGCAAAGAAAGCAACGCGAGGCTGTCCGTCCACCCTAAGGACCTCATACGCGGCAGTGGGGCTTCTCCAGTCGTCGTTGATCAGGCGCCCGTAGGACCCGTCTTCATCACTGGCATCAATCCTGGAAACATTATTTCACGCATACATAAAGCAACGCGCCATTCTTCACGTACAGCAGTTTAAGTTTGCCGTTTCATTTAATTTCTCATTGTCATATCGGAATGAGAAAATGTGTCATTTCAAATATACTCTATCAGTATGGATATATTAAAATCCTTGCTATATTGAACATGTGAACCTATGATATGGAAGTGCTTAGATACACGAGTTTACAGTCAAGGGCTCACTGTGGTGGGTTTTCTACGATGGTGACACTTTCCGGTTCCGTTTTATGCAAGAGTATACCGGAACCGGAAGTGCCGCCATCATGGAAATGTAGTGACTTGATCACGAGAGGTGGCGGGATCGGATTTGGGGCGCATGCGCGGAGGAAAGTGGAAAAGAAAGGAGGCAGGCGAAGCGTTCGGGCGAGCTGGAAAACAGTAGGTAAACGTGGTAAAAATTAGATAGTGAGATGGCCTTAAAAACGGGCGATGAAATAGTGGGGTGTGGGTTCCTTTTTTGCTGACAGTTGCTCACAAGATCTAGGCTTGGGAAGATGGATCGTCCAATGTTGGAGGAGTCTTGAAGCCATTGGTGGTGACGTTGTTGTTGCTGCTGCTGCTGAGTAGCTGGCCGAGAGATGTCAACGCCATCCTGTCCTATCTTGTATTTCAAGTCGCTATATGTAAGTGCAATAATCTTTTAACGCGACTTCAAACCCCATTTCACCTCACCTCACCTCTTGTCTTTCATGAGGCCAACTTTCTGAGGGAGGATTGCATCTCAACCTAATTTTCGTCCACAATTGCGTCGTTAGAGCTGCTCTCTTGAAGAAGTCATAAATGGATGCGCGTGTTCTGATGTCAAAGATAAACGAGCGCGCCATGACATGCAATATGGGTATGATGACATCATGCTTCCGTGGCAATGTTCCGACTGCAAAGGCAGGTTATCAGTTCACGCCAACGGTTTCCTTAGTATAACGTCACATTTCAGATGATCACATTTGTCACATTAACGGAAGAGATGAGAACAGTCATGACGATGTCGATGTCCGTCAACACCAGACACTGTCACGCTAACCATAGGACACTCGAGATAACTAAGGTCATCTGTTTAGCACATGCGCAACGGAAGGTGGGCGAGCTGTGAGATGTTGCACACGTGTAGTTTCAATCTCATGGTGAGTGGCGGTTGAGATATGTAGTTGGTTCATGATGCCATCGACGCACGCGCCACCATGACGTCTTCGACACACGTTGTACTTACGATACTGATGACAGGTTTCCTGCTGAACGTAGCGATATCTCCACCTTGTGTCGACGCAAAATATCCACATCGTGTAGATGTACGCCAGCATTTCTCCATTCAGATTACAGACAGCAAATTTAGAGACACATGCTTCGTTCCAGGTCAGGAAAGGTATAAGGGCTCTACGTTCAGCAGGAAACATACTACCATTACAGCTGTGGAAAAACGAAGATCATTGCTGGATGAACTGTTTCTTTTGCTGCATCAGTCTTCCAGGCCAGCCTCCCTTGACAGTACCTGAAACCCTGGTGCATGATCTCCTACTTCTACTTGAAAGTTGAATATAAAACGTCTATGCAAGAGACCAACCAGTCTTGATTATCCGCTAAAAAAGATTACTTTTGGTGTAAAGGGGAAAATAGCTGTGAAGGTTATGTGTATGGACCAATGAAAATCAGTGATGACGCCAGGTGTTCGCGAAAAGGGTAAGCCCTGCCCTATCGGTATCACCCGCCAATGAAAATTCATCCTTCTTGTCGTACGGTCTTGTCGAGAAGTTTTGTCATTCAGAACCTTTATGCATGGATCTAAATATCAAACAGATGCCACTTTTTCACTGGCCTCTTGTATTTGTATTTCAGGTGGACAAATCAGTGGAAATATACGCGACCATAGTCACAAGAAATTTCTCTAACAGCAAGTCGATTGTAAAATTCCGGCTGTATCATGAGCATTTTTTTATGAATCAAGACATCAAATAGGGATGATACAAAGTGTTCGAGAAAACGTGAACGTATCCTGCCCCACCGGTGTCATCGTCACAAACACATGCAAAGGCAAGTCAATGGTTCATCTGAAATGGAATTGTGCGTTGACAATTATTGAAGGATATCAGACCATCGATAAGCCTGAAGATTAAGATAAACGTCTCGGCCAAATTCCCCTCATAGTTTACCAATCCGAGCAGATATAACATATAGAATGCAGAATGAACCACGTTTCAAGTTGGATGACAGCTGGCTGAGACAGTATGGGTTTATTCCAATTCTGTTTTATCGCGTGTTTAGTGAGTGAGTGAGTGAGTTGGGTTTAACGCCGCTTTTAACATTATTCCAGTTATATCACGTCGTGTCAGCTTAATGTGGGAGGAAAGCCCGAAGTGATGTAGGTCTCAGACGTTTACCACTTCGGTGAAACCCACGAGCACGGGTATGGTGCTGACAAACCTAGAAACATAATTGGGGCGAACCGGGATACGAACCCACAATCATAAGTTTCTGGCGTGCCCAAAGTGACGTAACACTGCACAGCAAATCGCGGCGCTGTTTGTATCAGTCGATTTACACATAACATATAATTGCCATATTGAACATCAAGTTAAACATTCGAGGATGTGTGTTTTATTTGTCACATCATGGGCGGATACAGAGGGGGGTTGCGGGGGTGCGCACCCCCACCCCTTTTTATTTCGAAAAAAAACTTTATTTCTGTATAAATTACCACCAAAGACAATAAATAGATCTTAATTGTGCGTCCCCCCCCTTTTCAAAAAAGCTGTATCCGCCCATGCACATAATAGGATACCTAATAGTGAATCAATGGCGTAAAGGTTTTGTCTTCTCCAATCAATTCTTATCTCCCCTTTCGTGTATTATCTCCCTCTATCCAGGCCATTTCAGGGATGTTTTCGGTTCAAAATGCACACTTCTACCCAGAGTTCCATGCGGCCAGCATTGTATCTATGCCACAGACTTCGTCACATCTTAAAAAGACCATTATCCATAGGCGTAGTTATCCTTTGTTTACATTGGCTATACGGCTCAACGTGCTTTCATCGAGGCCACACGGAGAGCTTGCGATACGGTCACTTTGATGTGTAAAGCTATATTGCCATGTGCCTCACTGTCACAGGTGCAGTAGCAAATCTATATAATTTGCCAAAAAATATGTTAAGCGCATCGAAATCCTTGCATTAGACAAGTATGTTCTGTTTTCAGAATAGACGCGCTCGTTTATAAAGAACATAAACGCCCTGTCACGTCATATGCAAATTAGTTGTGGCAGTAGTGTCATGCTCAGTCACTACTGCGCCGCTGTGTGACCCTTTGTATATATGTTTTTGAAAGAGTTCGCAAGGGGTTTAATAAATCAAGGTGAGATAAGAACGACAGCGTCCGAGCGAAAAACCGAGTGCAGAATGCAGACAACTGAACCATCTTTCATCACCGACCACCAGTGTTTATATATTAAACAAAATCCGATGGAATTATTGGCCGGAATAAAAATATCTCAAACAACAATTTTATGTTTCCAACACAATGAACTTGGGGAAACGGACGTAAAATATATCTTGCTGGCGCACAGGTAATCTTAAAAAAGAGATTCTTTAAATCATTGTAGGTTATCAGCGCCACTGTGGCCAGCGAAGCACTTTAGGCTACAGTGGCGCCGAAGGTTACGAAAGCTACAGGTTTGATCCCACTGAAAGGTAAATACTATTTGTCGTTTTGCATTGAGTTAGCATTGTAATGTGTTTTATACTCGGACCCCGTGGTACCGCGGCATTCATCGTATCGCGGCATTTGTGATTTCCGGTAGTTCACGCGGGACACGGGACACCCCGCAGTTCACAAGTAAACTTTCTCTATCGACCTGAACTAGATCATCTGCATATTCATGGCGACTAATAAGGTAACGGAAGTTACGTAGTCCGCACATATTTTCCCGCTCTGTGTCCAGAATCTATTGGGAGATCATAAGGGCCATAATGCCAAACTTAGAAATACGTTCTTCACTAGTAGCCAAAAGATAAATATATACTTTGGGCATACTAGGAGTGTTTTTTTAAAATATTTATTGTTAACGTTTAACATTTTTCCATTATGTGACAAATTATTGTCATCCAATTTTTTTTATAAACGATCTTAGAATATCATTTCTGATATTTTGTTTTGATTTTTAAAATACATTTCTCTTACTTTTCTGTAAACATGCATTGAATACCTATTACAGATAACACATTTCGAATTTTACTTGTGCTGCCTTGCACTTGTCTGGACAAATCACTGATATCTGCCTCTTTTTGTCCATTCGGACCTCCACACACAACTTTTCTCTGTACCGCGATACGATGGAGTTCTCTCCCTTGTCAAACTGAGCGCGAGACCCGGCTTTTACTCGGAGTAAATAATGAACTTTTATCAGTAAAATATGCATTGTTTGATAAAATAAATGATATCTGATATGGAGAACACGAATAATCATAACGGTTAGTGAGTGCATTTTGTTCCGTTCAGCGTACATGACAAGTACCGCGATATCCCGAGGTTGCAGGCTATATGGAGAAGTGTTCAAGTGCAAAGTAAATAATTAGTGACAGGGGAATTGTCTGTAGAATATTTTGAAAGAATGTTCCTGGGACGAGGTACAATCTACCCCAGGAGTCCCTGAAGTATTCTATTGAAACTATTTGGGCTGCCAGGAGATTAGCTTAACCTGAGGGAAGAAGAACCTAATAACAATAGGATGAGTTCACTTGAGGTTGATATACGTGCATTACTACCAAACGACCATGGCCTGATACCTCACAGACACATTGTAGGGAGTACTTACCATGTTGACTCGCCGGAGTCGTTCACTTCAAACAGATAGGCACTATTGGCACCGTCCGGTTTCTGTGTGAAGAACTTGCCATGATAATACGTTATAAAATCCCCAGGTTGAAAGTCTCTATCCGCTACTACACCTCTTCCTGAAGCCAATTAAAACAAATAAATATATTAATAGCGGATAGTGTATTAGTTTTTTTTATAATATTTTTTTCAAGAAATGCACTATCTATTCCGAAACCGGTCTGTTTGTTTGTAAGGCCACACTCAGCACTATTCCAGCTCTGTAGGGGCGGCCAGTAAAGGGTCCACACCGTCGGGGCACGATGAAACGTAATAAACAAAGTCCCCATGTCTTATTACACGATCCGTTAAGTCGCCTCCGACGACCGGCATTGGTTGTTGGGGATCTGTTCTGACCTATCACTGTGTGGGACACTCTGACTTCAAGACAGTCAGCAACATTCAAGCTTCTTCACAGCTTGTACATAAACTGATCCGGCAAGCCAGTGGTTGATATTATAGAGTGAGTGAGTAGATGTTGTTTTAAGCCGCATCAGCAATATTCCATCAAGGTACAAGGACGTGCAATGACCAAGTAAGTGAGCCAGACAACCCGATCAAATTTAGTGGCCGCTTACGAAAACAATAACGCCTATGGATCTATTGAACCTATAGAACCACAGCGTGAGAAGGTTTATGAAAGTTTCAACCCAGTCGCTGTAATGTAATGGCCGCCGCGGCAAAGAGAAGAAACTTTAGGAACACGTGTACCTTTCGTATCACCAAAGCTGACCACAATCAGATAAGCAGGAGCCGCATCTCGCCGGCGCATCGCTGCTATAGCTGATGCCCTTTGACTCTTCTCAAGGAATAATTGCTGAAAATGAAGGCATATACGTGTCCTGTATACATTGAAACCTCGTTATCTCGACGTACTTGGCAACATTGACAATATCTCATCCGTACTTCGACACAAACGAGTGTCGATATTCACACGTGTGGTTCACACAGTGACACGCCTCTAAAATCTGCGTCATTTTGAGCTTTGCCCCCACATCAGACTGCTATACCAATGCTATTCAATGCGACGTAAAACCAAACTCACTCACTCACTGACTTTTACTATTGCATGTTAAAGAAAGCTGAGTTGTGATGTCTAGAAGTAGCAAGAGTAGCGCAAGGTATCTTTCGCCAATATATTTCAGGGTGTTACCTTTTCGAAAAAGTGGTCCGGTCATCTAAGACTACAACACTTTGAGCAGATTTGTTTTATCAGTCATTGGTAATAGGTCCGAATCCTTGATTATGATATTGTTTGTTCCCATCATCATACCCATGCTCATGGGATTGACCGAATTCGTTGAGTCTATATCACTGTTGCCTGTAAATATAACAGTCTCGACCAGACAAACCAGAGGCTTTAAAGCGCAACGACCCATGCCACCGAGGTACGAAGCCACGGAGCCTGAGCACAAGGCCCTTGTTTGGTCATTACCAGAATGAATTACTGTCGAGAATCTCAAGCGAAAATTCGTTGTCAGGGGTGTTCCTTTAAAGTATCTGGTATTTCTCTCGCATTTGAAAGAAAAGGGAAGGAACGTCCAAGAGTTGAAGTTATTAATTATTCACAGTATCTACGTAAACATCATCACGTGAAGATATAATCAGACTAATCACAAACCTCATATATCTGTTTCGCGGAACACCCGGAACTCAAGGTTGGGATGTCGACAAGGATGACTAACCAGATATACACAGTGAACATCCTCAAGTCCCTATGACGGTAGTACAGATGAACACAGCTGTCTGCTGTAAGCGTCTGGGTCGGACTTTATATCGACCAACTGCACATCAGTTACCGTAAATACTCTACATTAAGAAGTTGCTTCCCTTAGCCGATTCACAATTCATCTGTCGATCGTGGGTTCAAATTCCAGAGCCCCCAGTTTATGATTAATGGTTTGGCAGCACTATAGTGTCAAATACTCTCGCCGACTCTGGTAGGAGGTGAGGTGAAATTGGGTTTAACGTCGCGTCCAAGATTATTGCACTTATATAGCGATGTGCATGCACGTGTGTGTGTTTGTGTGGCTGCTTGTACTAGTCCGGACTGATGCCGATTTATAGTGCTAGGTCACTGAGATACCATGCCGCAGTTTAACATGAATACCCCACTCAGACACAGTATACTGACTCCGAGCCGACCAGTCCTTGTTTTAGCCCCTTAATGCCGAGCGCCAGACAGGGTAACAACAAGTACCATCTTTTAACGTCTTTTGGTATGACGCGACCGGGGATCGAACCCCGGACCTTCCGCTCTCCGGGCTGACGCTCTTCCACTAGACCACGGAGGCGGTCGACTCTGGTAGGAACATTCCCGCACGAGTCTCTGACATGATCTGGTTATCGCTGGACGGATCCTGGATTCTCCCTTGATCTGTGTGTCGCTGGTGTTTCGTTTGTAAACATCCATAATTTCTTTCACTTTGTGCCTTCCCCCGTTTTTAGACTCACTCCCTCGGAGACTTCCCCTATCTTAAAACTCACTCACTCACGCACAGCCTTCCCCAATCTTTAAATTATTATATATACTATATATACTCACTCACTCACTCACCCAATTACTAAATTACTGAATGCGTTAGTTCACCAAATACGGTAGCTGAACAACGCGTTTTAGTATTTTTACTTAGAACTAAATGCATACCACACAAAATCAATGAATATTGATTGAAATCAGAAGTTTATAATTGTACTGCTTCATAAATCATGTATCAGCCATATCTTACACAGAACATCACAGAATTCGTGATAGCCGTTGTTTAAATGAACATATCTCTCGACCGTACCCTGATAAACGTTGTGTAAATGACCCTATCTCTCGATTCTACGCTGATAACCCTTGTATAAACGACCATATATCTCGACTGTACCCTGATACATGGTGTGTAAATAACCATATCTCTCGACTGTACCCTGATACCTGGTGTGTAAATAACCATATCGCTCGACTGTACCCTGGTACATGGTGTGTAAATAAACATATCTCTCGACTGTACCCTGATACCTGGTGTGTAAATAACCATATATCTCGACTGTATCCTGATACCTGGTGTGTAAATAACCATATCTCTCGACTGTACCCTGATACCTGGTGTGTAAATAACCATATCTCTCGACTGTACCCTGATACATGGTGTGTAAATAACCATATCTCTCGACTGTACCCTGATACCTGGTGTGTAAATAACCATATCTCTCGACTGTACCCTGATACATGGTGTGTAAATAACCATATCTCTCGACTGTACCCTGGTACATGGTGTGTAAATGAACATATCTCTCGACTGTACCCTGATACATGGTGTGTAAATAAACATATATATCGACTGTATCCTGATACATAGTGTGTAAATAACCATATATCTCGACTGTACCCTGATACATGGTGTGTAAATAACCATATCTCTCGACTGTACCCTGATTCGTGGTGTGTAGATGACCCTATCTCTCGACTGTACCCTGATACCTGGTGTGTAAATAACCACATCTCTCGTCTGTACCCTGATACATGGTGTGTAAATAACGATATCTCTCGTCTGTACCCTGATACATGGTGTGTAAATAACCACATCTCTCGTCTGTACCCTGATACATGGTGTGTAAATAACCATATCTCTCGACTGTATCCTGATACATGGTGTGTAAATAACGATATCTCTCGTCTGTACCCTGATATCTGGTGTGTAAATAACCATATATCTCGACTGTACCCTGATATCTGGTGTGTAAATAACCATATATCTCGACTGTATCCTGATACATGGTGTGTAAATAACCATATATCTCGACTGTATCCTGATACATGGTGTGTAAATAACCACATATCTCGACTGTACCCTGGTACATGGTGTGTAAATAAACATATCTCTCGACTGTACCCTGATACATGGTGTGTAAATAAACATATATATCGACTGTATCCTGATACATAGTGTGTAAATAACCATATATCTCGACTGTACCCTGATACATGGTGTGTAAATAACCATATCTCTCGACTGTACCCTGATTCGTGGTGTGTAGATGACCCTATCTCTCGACTGTACCCTGATACCTGGTGTGTAAATAACCACATCTCTCGTCTGTACCCTGATACATGGTGTGTAAATAACGATATCTCTCGTCTGTACCCTGATACATGGTGTGTAAATAACCACATCTCTCGTCTGAACCCTGATACATGGTGTGTAAATAACCATATCTCTCGACTGTATCCTGATACATGGTGTGTAAATAACGATATCTCTCGTCTGTACCCTGATATCTGGTGTGTAAATAACCATATATCTCGACTGTACCCTGATATCTGGTGTGTAAATAACCATATATCTCGACTGTATCCTGATACATGGTGTGTAAATAACCACATCTCTCGAATGTACCCTGATAACCTTGTTTAAATGACGTTATGTTTCGATTTTACCCTGATAACCGTTGTTTTAATGACCATATCTCTTGAGTCTACGCTGATAAACGTCTCCAGCATATTACGATTTAAATCAATATAAATACAAAATGAGCACAACACTTGTGACATCGATAGCCTACATCGAAGCGTATAGCAATGGTTGTCGATAACACACAACAGCTTATCCAAAATGATGAAATCTATTTCAGAACACAGTTAAGTGAAAGACACACTAACAGGTGTGTCACAAAATTGAACAGCTCTCGTGCAGGGCAAGGTAGTCTTGTCTTCAGCTAAATACAGCGGCAGTCAGACATACTTCAGGGTGGTTCAGTGGGCAGTGGTTGTGCTAGGGGGCACCTTGCCACCGGTGACTTGTCAGGATTATGATTGTGTTACGTCTCGTTGAGAATCCATGTACTACCCTCGCCCTCGCTCGGGGTATACAAGAAACCTAACACTCATTTCGTAAAATCAGTATGACACTCATACTCGTGTAATAATCTCTATTAACTACAGATTCTGGGTTCGTGTAAATAGCACTGTCGCAGTGAACAATTTCTTGGCAGCCCAAATCCATTTTCCATATGAATGCATTCTCTTGCTCGACAGTTGTTGTTTTTACTCTTTGGGGAAGGAGTGGCAGCCCAGGCTACGCAACTTAAACTTTCACCCATTAACCATGCATCTGTTAGTCGTATATCCCAGAACCAGATATCACCTGGTAATGGTTCGAATCCCGTGTTCATTGGTCTGTCAACTTCATATGGTCGCGGGCGATATTAATGAAATATCAGTCAAAGAGACGTTAAATCATATTCATTTAGGAAGAGAATGTATGGATGCCAGCTTCTTTATTATGAGGAACACAAGGTTCCGGAGTATATGCTTACTTCTTCATCAGCTCTTCCATGTGCGTATCACTTCTAAATGCCTTTCAAAGACCATATTCATTTATTGATATATTTAGTCAACGTGAGTTTAAACAATTCAACTGCAAAACATCAATGGAACATCAATAGAACATCTGTTACTATCGACATGTGCGTGTGATGGGCTAGCCAGAGTGTGATGGACTAGCAGAGGGACATCAAGTTGCCACAGGTGTCTGTGATGTTTTATCTTTTCTGTATCCTTGGACTAGTTTACACTGGCCGATTTATAAATTCCAATTTTTTAATACTGACTGATGCTGGTTGTAATAGATGAGATGCTGGTTTAAATAGTTGAATAAACAAGTTAGGAATCATCTTCCCGAGGCAAGTGAGTTAACTGACAATAAAAGTCCAGTTAAACTCGGGAAGATGGTTAGGAATAAGGAGTAAGTGTGTTTCTCATAATAAAGAAGTTGATATCCATAATTTCGCTTCCTTATACACATGTACTGACTGGTGTACATTTAGAATGTACTATCACTTCTAAATTCCATTCAAAGACTTAATAAGATACTTCTCAAATACCTGCACTCCTAGCGTAAAGTTTCAAATGGGGTTTAACAGACTAAACACATTCTCCGGAAGTGACTAACACCTCGAATTATAATATATGCACATTTAATGTAATAATAGGCATTGATATACAAGCATTCATCACACATTAATGTAATGATAGGCATTGATATACAAGCATTCATCACACATTTAATGTAATAATAGGCATTGACATACAAGCATTCATCACACATTAATGTAATGATAGGCATTGATATACAAGCATTCATCATGGGTAGTGATTAGTTAAGTACAGTCAATACATACATAATACATACATCTTCCGTAGGAAATATCTGGGGAATCCCAATATTACAGGACATTTAGAAGACTATTATTTAGTCTATGAAATCTTATATTACACAATACCCTTCTCGACTCTAAAATTAAACAAATAATTGTCCCGATGTACAAACTTTTGTAAGTATCCGCTACGCGGGTTCATACAGTTTGCACATCGGTTTTTTTATTCATACCTCAATGAACCTAAAACAAATCCACAGTCAATCCTTAAATGACCTTCAGTTTCGCGGTCAAGTGACCGACATCTCGTCCAATGGAAAAGCCGTATATCGTGTAAAATTATATGGTATTGATGAAGACCCAGCTGATTTTGTTGAGCGATTTGTAACCATGGATGCGTCGTGGGTTCACCACCGCGTAGCTTCTCAGTATTCGTATGCCTAAGAACCTACAAGCAACGAAACCTTGTTGACACGGGCAGTTTATCATGTGCAATACCTGCTTTATGAAAAGACGTTTTCATTATTTAAGAATAGCATTCTCTTGCACATGAGAAGGTAGACCGCTTGCACAAGTATCGCTCA